AGAAGGTCCTAGGAGACCTCATGTGGTACCTTAAGGGGGCTTATAAAAAGGAGGGAGAAGGACTTTTTATATAGGTAGAGAGTGACAGGACGGGGATAAAGTTTTTAAACTGATAGAGGCAGGTTTAGATTAGATTTTGGGAAGAAATTCTTAACTGTGAGGGTGGTGAGGCCCTGGCACAGGTTGCCCAGAGAAGCTGTGGCTGCCTCTTCCCTGGAAGTGTTCAAGGCCAGGTTGGATGAGGCTTGGAGCAACCTGGGATAGTGGTAGATGTCCCTGCCCATGGCAGAAGGTTGGAACAAAATGGTCTTTAAGGTCCCTTCCACCACAAACTGTTCTGTGATTCTGTGAAACAGGATGTTCTCAGAGAGCTCGGAGACTCGGGAGACTGGACCCCCCTCTACATCAGGGATGCAGGTGGGATCTACTCAGTGTCTCACAATAAGTCAGAAGTCAATAAAAGAGGAAGACTGGAAACTGGTCACTCTCCACATAAGGAGGAATATTCCTGTCCCTCCCGAAGAGTTGATGTTAACAATGCCAGACAGGATCACCCGGGAGAAGCAGCGAGCGGTTCCAGTGGGTGACTGCACCTGACAGGTTGTCCAGGGAAATTTATTGCCTTCCAGGGGCTGGAATCAGAGATGGCATGGAAAGACTGCCAAGAGAGCTAAAAGGTCAAGATAAAGTTCAGGAGATTACTGATTACTGTTGTGGAAAAACAAACAAACAAAAAATAATTGACCGTTAAAATAATAAAGTAGTAGTAAAAAACCAAGATAAACATGAAACCAACATCTTTTCTTTCTCATTTTACTGCAGGGGATTACCTGCTCTGCCATGGAGGCCCCCCTTCTTATCCTTCTCTGACCTTGGTGGGGTTTTTCCCTATCCTCTCTCTATCAGGTGTTTTTTACCCTTTCTTAAATAAATTTCTCCAGTGGTCCCAGTTGCTTCACTGACAGGCTCAGCCATGTCCTGTGGTGGGTCATGGTGGAGCCACCTGGAAAAGGCCTGGGGCAGCCCTGACCTCCTCCTGCAGAGGCCCTTGTAGAACCTACCACTAATTAGTGATTTTTAAATTATTTTTTAATTATTGTTTTTGTCTTAGACTGTAACCTGTTCTTTAGGGGCTTTTTGTTTTTTTTTTATCAGATACATCTGGAAAGCCCAGTGAATCCAAAGCTCGTTCAGAGGATGTGGGTGGTGGTGTGTCTTGTTTGTGGGTGGGTAGGTTGGTTTTAGATGCTCCTAAGGAATCTCTTCTGTTGGAAGTTTGCTGTCCTCATCAGATGTAACGAGGCATTTTGTTCTAAAATGTTCTGTGAAAAGTAGTTTGAGCTTCTTTTTGCATGAAATGTGTCCTGAAGTTGGGTATACTTGGGATAACTGTTTTCCCAAGTTTGCAGAGCAGATTTTTTTTTTTGTAAACTGCTGACCTATAAATTTGAAATTTCAGGATTCAGCGTTTTTTTACATCATCCTTGCAAAGTGAAAGATAGTTTTCTGTGAAGGTGTGACATTGGGACACCAGCAGTGGCCTACTTCAAAGAAAAATTGGAAAGGATTTGAGATTTTATGACAAATCATGAGACATTGGTGCAAAAAAAATGTGGAAAATGCTCGTATGTGGAGGGTGGATTCAGGAATATGATAGAAAAACTTGGGCCTTTTGAAAGACAGAAATCATAGAATTTTAAGGAGTTGGAATGGACCTTAAAAATCATCTAGTCCCAACCCCTCTTGCTCTGTGCAGGGACATCTCCCACCAGACCAGGTTGCTCAAGGCCTTATCCAACATATCCAAATATTTGCAACTAATGGCACAATTACTTCTGAAATCTTTTTTTTTTTTGGTACTGTTATATTTAATCTATTGTGTGTTCTGCTAAATAAGGTTTGTTGAATTTGGTTTCGGAGACCCTTAGGAAAAATTTGGGTGCTTTAGGGTTGCCTAGTGAATGTTGTAACCTCTCAGTGCTGCAGTGGATCAGCAGAATTGATCCATGTGAACTAAGCTGTCCTTCTGCTTTGAGTATTTTGTGTGTATATGTGGATTTTGTTTGGTTAGGGTTTTTTGAAGGGTTGTTTTCTGTGTTTTGGATTTTTTTTTGGTGATTGTGTCTTTCAGAAGGTACCCACAGTGGTATAGGACATATAGAAATCCACAACATAACCTTTTGGTTAAAAGTGTAATATCCCTTATTCTGCTAAACTGTGTAGGTCTGGCCCTGTGATCAGGGGGTGTGGGGTGGTCTCTGAAAGGAGAACTGTCAGCCCAAGGGCTGGGCCAAACCACTTAGAGCCATATAAACCTGTTAAACCCATATTTAATTCAGTGAATTGAGTTGTAAAGCTGATGAATTTAGTGCTTAACACTGAGGCACCTGCTGTGAGGTTTTCCTTATTAGCAGAGCTCTGAAGAAGGAACTGTGTTTATTTATTTGCTGGATATTTAGAAGTCAGGTGCAGGTTTGTTCTTCTATTTTAGAAGCCATTTCATACCCTGTGGAGAGATGTACAGAAGGGAGTTGTGCCATGGGACAGGGGGCCTTCTTGCCTATGTAGTGTCCAGTATGATATTTTTGGTTTCCTGGTGACATTTTACTTTGTCACTACATGCCAATAAAAAGGCCAGTCCTGTGCTGGAACGCACAGATGCAAAGATACACAAAGATAAACAAAGATAGACTGGTAATCAGAGGAGTTTTGCAAATGAGTTTTTTTTCCACTGTGTTACAAGAGCTGCCATGAAACAGGCAAAGGAAACTTTAGGAATTAGAGTGGGTCATTATGCCCTGCTGTTGGATCACTAACCAACTATTCCAGGTGAACTCGTGAGGAACTGCTGTCAGGAAGGCCCATGTGTTGGTCAGTTTATGAGCTGTCATAGCAAAAACAAATCTACCAAACAAGTCCAGTGCACCTCTCCAACCAGAATCCCTGACATCCACAGGACAAACGGGGTGATGAAAAAATGATTGTTGACAATCCTGATCTGCCACATCAGTGTTGTTGTAATAATAATAATAATAATAATAATAATAATAATCATAATAATAATCAGGATCTTTTTTAGCAAGCTGTGTTCTTGAAAAGGGTGGGATTCTCCTTGCTGGTTTTAACTGGCTTTCTCTAAAGTGGGTCGGGTTGGCTCTCTGTTGGCGTTCAAGCTGATCTCTTCCTTTATAGGCTGTTTGGGTTTCTCTCTCTGGTGTTTGTCCTAAAACTCCCTTTTCACGTCAGTTCTGCATCTTGCAGTCATTCCTACCCATCTTTGCGTGTACAGGAGCGATCCAGGGAGACCTCAGCCTCACAAAACCAGGGCACAATGTCTCCAGAGCTCTGGGAACGCTGCTCTACTATTTTTGGAACCGGCTCCATTGCTTCTATAATAGGAAGGCTTCTGGAAGCTTTCTCCTTACTCTCGTCCCGAGAAAGTGGCCTTTCAGCTGAGCTTTCGTTAATTCAGGGTCTGCACGGCAAAAAAACCAAATCTAGTTTTATACTCTAAATAATTCAGGCGTGGCTGGGGGGGGGGTGTCACATGGCCCCAAGGCTGCAGCAGCCGTGGCTGGTTTGGGGTGCTCGGCCACCCCCCGTTTGTCATTCGGGGCACGCGACAGCGCCGGGCAGTGCCAAGGCAGCTTTCTAGAAAGCAGAGGGACGTGTGATCTGGGGGTGGCGGTGTGTGTGGGGGGGTGTTTGTCACCAGCGCTGCCCAGTGAGGGATTTACTGGTTTTGTTTTCCTCTTGGATCAAGCAGGACAAATCTAATGAGCCAGTTCTTAACTTCTTCCCCGCTGAGCAGCGGGTGATGTCCTTACCCAAATTGCGCAAGACAGCTGAAACCTTTCAGGAATAGCTGAACAAGGGAAACACTTGTAATATTATTTTTTTTTCCAGTACTCAAAATATAGAGTTAAGAGGGTGCAGCAGAGCTTGTCTTTCCTTTATTTTCTCTTTCCCTTCTGAGGTTTTCCTTTTGAGGGGGCGACTTAGTCCTTCCAACGCTCACCCCACCTAGAGAGAAGGCAGGATTGCTACGAATGTGAAGCCTTTCATTCTTCATTGACATGATCTTGGAAGGAAGACAGGTTCTCCCTGTAGTGCTTCATTAGAATAAGCATTTCATATGCTTATCAGTACAGCAAGTAGCGCTGCTTGACAGCAGTGGAGAGTCAAATGTTGCCTTGGAGCCCTACACGCTCATTTCCCCGCTTCCGAAACACTCTGGATTCTGCCCACTGTGCATTCAGAAGTGTTCCTTTCCACTGACTTGAAAGAAGCTAAAACCCACTTTGTAGCAGGCACCTTTTCCAGCACGATTACAGGTGTGGATTGGAGCAGGCTGAGTCCAGGCTGAGTTGCTGAGAACTTCGTCCTGCCGGGCTTTGTGAGTTCCTGCCAGGTCTTGGGGGTAAGTGGATCAGGGAGCTGACCACTTCTGGGTTAATTCTCTCCTAGTTTCAGCTCCCTGAGCTGCTTCAGGTGAGAAATCAAGTGGGAAACCAGTGCTGATAAAGGGAAAGGTGTGAATGAGCTGGGGGAGGAGAAGAGGGATGAGACCTCAGCATGGCAGGAATTACAATGACTGGAACAGCCATGGGGCTGCACAGTGTTTTGGAGCATCCATGTGTTCCCTGCTGACATGGATGTCCAAGCTCAAATTTAGAAGAGAATCACAGAATTATTAGGGTTGGAAGGGACCTCTGGTTACACAGGAATGTGTCCAGAGAGGAATGTCTCCAGAGAGGGAAAATCCACGACCTCCCTGGGCAGCCTGTTCCAGTGCTCTGCCACCCTGTATGTAAAGAAATTCTCCCTCATGTTGAGGTGGAACTTTTTGTGGTTTAATTTATGGTCATTGTTCCTCATCCTGTTGCTGGGAAAAAATGAAAAGAGTCTGGCACCATCATCTTGACACCCACCTTTGAGATATTTATGTGCATTGATGAGGTCCCCTCTCAGTCTTCTCAAGACTAAACAGGACGAGCTCTTGCAGTCTTTCCTCATAAGAGGGATGCTCCAGACCCCAAATCATCTTTGTGGCCTCCACTGATTCCCCTTATGTGGGAATCTTCAGATTTCAGTTCAGTAGCTGCTCTGTCTGGTGTGATCCAGAGTATGGATGGGAGAGAGGGAAGGGCTGGAGTAAATTTGGTGGCGAAATGAGCCAAGGCAATGGTAACAAGGTCTTGCTTTACCAGCTCTGGTTCCTGGTGTCTAGAAGAAGTGGCATCAGCTGGTTTTGGTGTGTGAGTGGACACAGGAAGCTCCCTCACATTTATTCCAACTGGAGCCCCTGTGGCAGCTTTATTGTTTTTAGATTAGATAACATCAGATCTGTGCAACTTTATCCTTTTTGGCCATCAAACAGTGGGGAAGCTGAGCACACAAGCCAAATTATGTCTGTGTTGGCTCCTTTAGTGTCAAAAGGCAGTTCTTTAAGGTGTTTTAAATAGGAAGATATTACATGAAGGATAGTTAAAAGGGAAGGGTTGTGTTCCTATAGGTGTCTAAGAGGCTGAGTATGAGGATTTGGTGTATCATCTTGCTGTGCAACCTAGTCTGGGAGCTGCTGGGGATCGTTCCCAGTGGGAGTATGGGATGAGGAGAAGCTTTCTGCCAAAGCTTCTTGCTTAGGAAATTCTAGTGCTGTTTTAGGTGTCCTGGCGGGTGTTTGAGAGGGAGGGAGGGATGACTAGGCTGGGAAATGGCAGAATTGCCTGTCTGGTGAAATATGGTTTTGGAGACAAGTATCATGTAACAATCTAAACTTGAGCTCAGTGGTGGGGGAATGGACTTGGAACTCGGTTCTTGCAAGAAAACAAAACCCTATATCTTTATAATAAGGCCTCAGCACTGTGGTTGTTTTTTTTTTTTCCCATCATAATGACTGTTTCTTGGTATTAACTCCTCTGAATTCCCCTCTGAAACACTTGAGGGAACTCAAGGGGATGCTTTCTCCTGCATCCTGGCTGTGCTGCTGCTCTTTGCCCAGCTGATCCGGTGCCACGTCCCTGTGGAGCATCCTAGGGCTTGCCCTTGTGTGGAGGTGGGGTGGTCAAATGTGTTTTCACACATGTTTTTACCAGCAGGGTGATTGCTGCTCAGATCCAGTCCCGAGGCCACGGCCTCCTTTCTAGAAAGTGAATTTTCTGAGAGGATGTGCCCACCCTTTGAACTCCTTTGTTGATGAGTTACTGTTGCTACAGCTACAACACACTTGTTCTTGCGGTAAAGCTTTAGTTTTCAAAATATCAAAAGCTTTAGTGCTTTTTAGTGCTGCACAGATGAGGAGACCTTGACCCCCCCTTCATCCACTCTGGCTGAGTTAATACATTTGTTTTCCTGAGCTGCAGCAGCATTCAAACCTGACGATAAGACGGGGAATTCTGTGGGACCCAACTGCCGGCCGTGGCTGGGAGGATGTGATGCTTTGCTGCTGCCAAAATCCGAGTCCTTCCCACATCTTGTGTACGAAGGCATATGTTTGGGGGTGGCTTCAGAAAGGGAGAACGACACCATTATGTTTTTAACTTCCTCTCCTGTTTTGTTTCTCTGTGCATCTGTATTTCAGTCTTTCTCTGTGCAAAACTAGCAAATCGGCTGAAGCACCTACTGCTAAAGATCAGCCTTGGTACAGAAACAGTGGTAATTAAAAGGCAGTAAGTATCTTTGCTAGCTTGGATGCTGATTTTTTTTTTTTCATTTTCCTTCTTTTTTTCCTTTTTTTTTTTTTAATTCACAAGCACAGCTTTTTACTCCTCACACAGTAGGAATTTGTCAGGGGCTTGCTGGCATTAATAGTCTATTTCAGCTCTTTTCTATGGCCCAGCAGCTATAGAGGAGGGGAAAAAGCATTCTTTGTATGGAGCTGTGGTTGGAGCTGTGCTGCAGTGCCCATCTGAAGTTGGCTGGGTCTATTTTGCCAGCTTTTGCCTCCCTCTAGTAGGTGCTGGTCCCTTCCTAAACACATGACATCCCACTGTATGATTCCTGTGCTTGGATCAGGGTTGTGGCTGTTCCTGACCTGAACCCCTTCTTTTCATGGTTTTGCTTCTCGAGCTCTTCACGGCAAACAAGATACCTTTGGGTTTCAGTTTTTTTGTCTGGCTTTTATCTTTTACTTCTCAATTGATCCCCAAAGGAGTAGGACTAGCACAAAACATGTGGTGTTTCTAACCAGGGATTCATGGGAGGGAGTTCTAGCTCTTGAAAAAGTGAGTGGCATTCTTGAAATGGTGTGGTTGCGTTTATTTGGGTGTGGATATAATCATGTTTTTTGTGATACTGCTCCTGCTGAGTCTGAAATGCTAGTGTCAGTAAAGCCAGAAGGAAAGCCAGACAAAAGCTTGGAGAAAAGTCAGGATTTCAGTGCCTCTTACTGATGGTTCATGGGAAAGTAACGATTTTGTGTTTAACTTTGATTTTCCCAAAGCACTAGGCACATGCTTTTTTTTTTTCCCCTCTGTGAATTACTGTTTGTGAAAATGTATTTTACAGCCCACAAAGCATCAGAAACAGCTGATTTTTGTGCCTAGGTTTTGCTCATAGGGGTAGGTCCTTGTTACAGACCCTGGGTAGTCTAATGAAGGTGGTGTTTAACTACAAAGCTTCAATTTCTGCTAATCATGGCAGCCTGACTCCTGGTATTCCTGAATTCCTGGAGCCGAGGACATGCTCTCATCCCCCTGCTCTGCCAGTGCAATGCCTCCGTCTTCTCCTCCCGACACGTTTCTTAGCCTTGTGTAGAACTCAGCAGAGATTTCTCCATGAGGACTGGAATGTGTTTATATAATATTTTATATATTATTTTAGGCTCCTGCTACTCAAATGTAGGCAAATGATTAACCTCTCCATCACCATCAGTAGACGAATCGTGGGATTGCCGTAGCAGAAAGTCAAGTAAGATGGGTCTAAACCAGCTTCTGTTTTTTCCTGCCTGGAAAATTCATCCTTCGTGGCTTTCTCAGCAAGTGGGGCTACCAAGAGCAGCTTTTCCAAGCCAGGAATGTTTAGTGGGAGCACTGAGTTGGAACCACACTGGTCAAGCACTGGTTGGTGTGTAGGTTGGGGCTCTTCTGTGTGGGAGGTGTTGGGAGGGGGTCGATGTGAGAGGCTCCATCTCTGCAAAAGCAGGAGTAGGGCAGCAGCAGGAACACTGGGCAAAGCTGCTGAAAAGGAGAGAACAACCTGCTGCACTAAATCACAGATCCCCTGGGGACACAGCTCTATGTTTAGCATCCTCAAATGGCATTCCTTTATTACGGCATCATGGAGCGTGGTCCTCTAGAGAGGAAGCAAACGGTCTCTAAAACAATCTGCTGGCAACTCGGGCTGGAGCATTTGAGGTTTTCCAGGGCTCTTCTGCTGTGTCACTCTTCCCTTTAATGTTCCAGCTCGAAAGTTGTTGTTCTTTCGCCATCACAGTCCGTTAAGGCGCCGGTAAGAGTATATCTGCTCCAAGGACAAGGTGTAGAAGGCAGTGAGAACAAGAGATACTGCAGAGCAGGGTTGTTTTTGGTGTAATCTGCCTTATCAGCATGTGATGCAAAGACAGGGCAGTTTTCACAGGACTTGGAGGCTGCGTGGTGACATGTTTTCTGTCCTTTGTGAAATCCACCACGTTATTTTGATTAGAACACTAACGTAACCCCTGGCAGCCTCAAATCTTACTGCCAGCAGCTATTTCCCTCCAAAGCCTGGTGCAGTGCTAACAAGCAGAAGGATCTCGTGTGCCCTGTTTACGCGGAGCTCTGGAGACGGAGGTGTTCCGTGGGAGGTAACAAGGTAGCGCTGTAGCTGTGTATATAAGGTGGAAAAATGTTGTGTGTGCAGACAGGCTGTTGTGTTAATTTGTGTTTGATGGTGTTCAGAAACTCCAGCTGCAATAATGGCATGACGTTAAGTTCTTTTATACATAAATGTATATATTTTGTATCTGTGCATGCACATACGTGTATACATATTTTTTTGTCTCGTGGGAAAGTCCGTGTTTGGATCATCGGTGCTTCAGCTGCTCCTGTACTTGAATGTGATTTTCTGATGTTTGTTCAGTTTTTAGGTGGCAGAGACACGGTGAAGCTCTGTGTGGGGCAAGGAGAGCTGATGGGGGAGCCTGGGGTGTGACCCAGGATGGATTGGCTGTGACGGCGTGCCTTAGCTGGAGAGGTAGTTACCATGAAGAGTTCCTGCAGAGCTGGCCTCCACAGGGAACCGCTGAATTCCACATCCTCCACCTTCCACCAAGTCAAACGGTATGAACAGACTGGCCTGCCTCTAGCTGACTGTTCAGCACTGACTGAGCCTTCTCCTTGCTTTCCTATTGTCTTGTCACTCAACTGTTTGGACTAAATTCTTCCTTTCGGATGGTGTTTAAGTGAAACGCTGTAATGGCTTAAGGGCAGAAATGTTCTTTTGACGTTTTTATTTGATAATGACAACTACAGATTCCCTACAGCTGGCAGGGTGCTTGGAGAAATCCTTGGGTTTTTCAGCAACAGCTGTAAATTAGTTTGGGAACATGACTTTGAAGTAAAACTTAATTGGCGAGTGGCTCGTCAGAGGAGGCTTTAGAACACGCAGTCAGCTTAGAGCAAGTGGAAATGCTGGCACTCATTGTTGTGGTTTGTCTTACTATGGAGTAAGTAATTAGATTAGTTTAAGCTCAGATTTTGCATTGCTCACTCTCCTGTGTCTCTTATTAAGAAGAAATGCACGATTGATTTCAAACACTCGTGCTTATGTGACAATTAAGTGAACGCCTCTCACTGTGTCTTGTTATAGGAACACCGGGCAGAACAACTTGTCCTTATGCAAATGCAGGAACATGCCAGTTTGTTTGAGTTCAGGCTACTTCAAAATATATGTATCTTCTTTTTTTTCTCTTTTTTTTCTGAAAGCAAGGCTCCTAAACTTCCTCAGCCTGGCAGAAGAGCATCAGCTTTTCGGTTTCCAAAAGCTGTGTGGGTTTAAAGCAAACTTTTAACCTTTGTTCTTTGTGGTTGTGTAGACAGCATATACTTGCTATGTTAGTCTCATGGTAATTTAGTGCTGGAAAAGACTTCCTGGGTCACCCAGCTCTTTGCTTTCCCAAGCAGTATCTCATAATCCCTTCTGTGAACTTAGTCTAGCCTAAAAACATTTACATCTTTTCTTACATCTCTTCTTTTCTCCTCCAGTTTATTAAACCATTACTGAAGATGACAGATCTAGCTGTGCAATTAGGAACCCTCTTTTGATTCCCAGACTAAACATCCATGACACTTTACATGCTTATTTGAGTTTCTGTTCCTTTATTTTCCTTCTGCTTTTCTTCCCACTTCTTATTTTCAGTGGTTTACCTCTCTTGCTGCATTCTGTAAAATGGGGTTGTGACCCTCACCTGTGGTTTTGTGGTGCTAAATGACCCAAGTTTTCTCAAGCAGCTGCTTGAATAACAACTGTTGTTGTCCTCAGTGTGGATACATCTCAGTCCTGGCTAAAATTGTCTGCTGTGCTCCAGGGCAGATCTGGCTGGAGGGTTTTCTTGCTGCTGCCTCAAACGTGTGACAGAGTCACCTCCACTTTCTTGTTTCTATGGTGGCCAGTTCACCTTAGTTACTTCCAGAACTCCTTGGTGTTCCTCTTGCTGGTGCATCACTGCCTGTATTTCAAAACCCTCCTCAGTTTCTGTGACTTGGAGCTTTGTGCCTCTGCTGTTTTGGAACTGCCCCCAGTTCTGTGGGTGCAGTATTTGTGCTGAGGTCATTCCTAACAAAATCAGATGTTCCCCAGGCTGATTCTTGAGGCATGTCTTTGGTTTCCAAGCTGGTATTTTCTTATTCAGCATCACCTGGGGCTGTCTGCTGCTAAGCCAGCTCCTTTGTCTGTTTTCCCATTCCTCTGCCAATCTGTCTTCACCAGTAAATCTCTTTGTGCTCTCTGAAGACCATGTGAGTAAGATATAGTAGATTTGTCTAAAAAGATCACTTTTTTTTGAAAACCTTGAGGTTAGTCTGGCATTTTGAAGTATTCCCTCTTCCCCCCTTTTCTCTGTGTCACATTAATCCTCTTTGCTTGCAAAGCACCTTTATATTGGAGTCAGAATACCAGCCCTGGAGAGGCTGCAATCATTCTCCCTTCTCTTTCTCCCCTGCAGTGCCCCCTCCAATGTGCCACATGTTTATTATCTCCCATTGTTGCCTTTCAAGAGGTTTATAAATCCTGTTTCTTGGCCTGCAGTGCATGAGCCTATCTGTTTTGGATTCTAAAACTGAGATGAGCCAATCCTCACAATTTTTATGAAGCTCTTTAATCCTCTCCCTGCCAATGTTCTTGTTCAGATTAACGCCTGGGCTTTTGCCCTCACAGTTACCACCCCTCTTTAAAAATGATGCAAAGTCAATTTTGGTACTTTGTGTAGCACTTGGAGTACTCTTAATCTCTGCCCTGCCCTTGCTTGCAGCCTTGTTTCTCTCCCAGTCCTTTCTCACAAACTGAGGAACCTTTCACTATTTCTTTGTTTTTAAATATCTCTGCAGTGACCTAAGGCTGCACCACTTCTCATGTTTATCCCTAGACTTTTTGAGCTCCAAGATACAAGTTTCTAAGTGATGTGACTTGAAACCTTCACGAAAAAGGATCACATCCAGTTGGAGTTTCTTCAGTTCTTGTTTGGGATGTGTTCTTAATAATGAAAACACCTTTTGGCTCCTGGAGAAATCTGTCTGCAGTGAAATCCTCTGCACCACATCTTGAACTTCATGAACCAGTTCCTTTCAGCCTTGAGTTTCAAAAGAGCAACCTTATGACTTGCCTTCAGATCTACTTTCGCTTATTCTTTTCTTTTGAACGCCGAGTCTCCGACTGATCGTGTGGTCCAAGGTTAATTTCTGCAACCTTTCATGTGTTCTCATTACATTATGCACAAAAATGAAGGCTATAAATAGCATCACTTTGTGTTGGTTCGTTAGCTGTTTGAAGAAATACATGTTGTGCTATGATGTGAAGAAAGGTCTTGGTCCTGTTGCTGTTAATAAATCAGAAAACAAAGTAAGAGAGGTAAAAGACTTGCAGAAGGAAGCATATCACGTATCTGTGCTGCTCTGGGCAGTTTTAAGCAGAAGATCTATAAAACCACCACTGTTTTTCTTACTGTCCTTCTGTGATTTCTTCTCATCTCAGCCTGTTCCACCACAGGCACGTGTGCTGTCCTGTCATCTTTGAGCTACACGTTTCTGGAGCAGCTTATAACCTTGAACACCAAATCTGTCAGTTCATTTTGTTCCCTTCTGCTTTATGTCATCCCTGTGTCACCTCCAGTGTGGTTGGGAAGCAGGGAGCAGGGGTTTGAGGTTTCTGAGGCTCAACAAAGAACTGCTTCTACGTCACTCGCTTCACGGTAAGTGCTTTTATACAAAAGCCTGGCAAAGCAGTGGCACTTCTTCCTGTATAAAATTTAGAAAGTAGCCAAGTTGACTGTGCTTTACGTTGAAGAGTGTGTGTGTTGAGTGTAAAATGTGTCTAGAACATTAATGGGTGGGAACCCTTGAACTGGAGTGATGTGTGTTGGGCTTGGGTGTGTGTTGTGTCACCTGAAACCTCTGCGTGGTGAGGGTGATGGACTTCATGCCTGTGTGCAGCTACATTTGGGTGTTGTCTCCCCCAGAGTCAGGTTATTTGAACACCTGATAGGGGTGAACACTCAGGGTTAGGTGTTTTCTTTGCATTCAGTTCCTCAGCTCTTTTGGGCCAGCTCTGCCCCACGTTTTTGGCTTGCTCCCGCTTTCCCCAAGCTGGCCACTTGGACAGAGAGCTCTCCTTCAGCAGCCAGATACCTTCTGTTTGCCTTCAAATCCCGCAATAATCCTTGCTGGCTCTCTGAGAGATGCAAAAGGCATTTTGCAGGCGCTGGGAGGTGGGTCTGGAGCAGCTGCTGCTCCAAGGGAGTGGGTTTTCTAGAAATCAGATGCCTCCACAGCTGCCGGAGTCGAACCCGCCCCGGCTCTGGAGCGTCGTGCTTCCCAACCCGCCCTTCTCTGAGCTTGGACACTTGCCACGTGCCAGAACAAGCTCCAGTGAGCAGCAGAGCCTCTTCCATCCCGGCTGCTCAGCCGGGACTTTCCCGCCCCGGCAGAATCCGTGGAATGCCTTTGAAGCAGCTCTCTGTCTGCTCTGCCTTGCCCTGGCAGTGCAAAGGGGATGGAAATGGTACTGGAGATTGAGCCCAAAGGACCCACCAAGCCCTTCCAGAAATAACAAGTGGTTGACCATAGTTAACTCACATTCAGTGCTCAGTCCTTGCTAATTGTCAGTGTCCTTGCTAATTGTCAGTGTCCTTTACAGAGGAGCTGAGCTCTGTGGACAGAGAACTGGGATGCCAGGGAGGAGAAAAGCCTTGCCAGAGGTTATGCTTGGTGTGGGTTTTTATTGTTGTTGATTTTTTTTTTTTACTCCTTTTTTTTTTGGCTTCTTCTGCCTTCTGTTAGTGTGTCCTGAGGGGTTTTTCAGAGTTGTAGCTGGCACTGGGTGTGCAGTCAGCAGCGCGAGAAACTTTTGTCGACTGCAGTTGGTGTGTTTACAAGAAGAAATCCACAGGAAACTTGGGGGTTTCGATGGAAATTTTCGCCTTAACAAAACCTCCCGGTGCTTTGCCCAGAAAACTTGCAGTGTGAATATGCTGTTTGAAAATATTGTACTTTTTTTGTTGTTGTTGTTGTTCTTGTTCTTGCTGGCCAGAGGAAATCTTTCAGCTTCATGAGAGTCCCTGACCTGGTGTCAGTGAGAGGCATTAAGGTTCTCTGTGGACCTCACAAAGGAGTTGTAAAAGCTGAGCCTTTTTTTACCAGTTTTCCCTCCAACTTTGGAGTTTCCACTAAAGCAAATGTATTATTTTTTTAGGCTGCTGTGATTTAGAACATATATAAGTACAAAAGGATGCAGGAAGATTCTGGCCAGCTTGGCAAGTAAGAATCATGGAATGATTTGGCTTGGAAGAGACCTCAAAGACCATCTCATTCCAACCCTTCTGCCATGGACAGGGACATGTTCCACTAGACCAGGGTGCTCCAAGCCCTATCCAGCCTGGCCTTGGACACTTCCAGGGATGGGGAGTCCACAAGTGGGTTATGGGCCTTCCCTTCAGTGGGAAGAGGAGAGGGTTGTGTGTGTGTTTGTGCTCATATGAAGGAATTTATTTCTGTATCAACAATGTGGAGTAACTAACTTGATAAAACTACAGTGGAAACAAGCTGTAGTTACGACTTAGGAAAACAGCAGTGTCATTCCAGCAGTGCAAGTATCCTGTTTTTCAGACACGGCTGATTAGAAATAGAAAAACTGGCCCCTTTATTTCATCAGCTTAAGGATGGAATAACAGCATGAAGGCAGCACTGCTCGTTGTTTCAGTGCTGATCATTCCTGGCAGAATTCTCTCTTATCAGCAATTTAAAACCGCACATTTGGGATTGAAAACCTTTTTATGTTTGCTCTGTGGACTTCTGAAGAGTCATTGTCTCTAAAGATAAAATTAGAAAGCTTGATAACTTAAAGGGTGGAGGAAAGCAAACAGAATTATTCTGGAATTAAGTTTCATAGGGAATTGTCAGTGACTTCACCTTTTAGCAACTATTTTTGGTGGTTTTAAATATTTAAAAGCTTTACCTGCAGCTGCCACAGTTCTCCACTTGCCAGCACTGAGATGTTGCAGAAATAGGGGAGTCTGTGGGTGGGGACTGGGCTCTGGTTCATCTTCAAAGCAATTTCTGCTGGGAAGGCTTGTTCTAATTCTAGGAGCTAGAGATGAAATGTGCTGCTGACGTGCAGGGAAGAAGCTGTGTTTGCCTAAAAGTTCGTTCTTAATATCCACAGCAAAGTGCATGTGAGGTGGGGGCTCGTTTTTTCCAAGTGACACTTTCAGGTAAGGTCCATTACTAAGATCCCTTTTAAAATGGAAGTTCTCTTCCCTGCTGCTGGAAAACCGTGAGGCAGGTGACAGCTGGTCAGGTGGAGTTTGCAGTGTTCTTTATAGCTGTCTGAAGTTATTAGATGAAGATTTTCTTTAAATCCAGATCCATTAAAACGTGTGCAATGAACTGAGTGCTGAATTCAAATGAGGCAATTATTCTGGCAGTAAAACTTCTGAGTAAGGCATAATTTTGTTATGTAAATTATAACTTTTCAACCTTAAATGGTATTGTTGGCTGAGCCAGGGACTAACTGAAACACAGGAGGAAATATAACCTTAAACAAGAAATCTGTGATAGGTGAGGCAGAACTCTACCCTTTGTCTTTCTCCATAGACCAGAAATAGCTGGGAGCAGCTGAACCAACTTTGCTGGCTGAACGTGTCCCCTGAGCCTGTTGGGGTAACCAGTTTGGTCCTGTTTTCATTCTTATAATACCTGGTCTCACCTTCATTTGCAGCTTCTCTTAATGAAGGGTGTTGAGCCGATTGTCCTCCCGGATTCCTGAAAACTGCTTGAAGAAAGCCTTTTATGAACAAGCTCAGCTCATTTTTCAAACACCTTGGCATGAAAACTCATGAATGAAATTTGATCTTCTGCTCCTGGCTCAGGAGATTTCAGCATGCAAATCGTGTATTTAATTGCATTCACCTCTTCTCCTCAGGGTACGGTGGCGGGCGGCCACCGGAGCTTTTTCTCTCTCTCTCTAATCTGGGAAGCACAGCTCCAGAATGTCCTTCTGGAAGGGAAGGGAGGGCTGCAGGCACTGTTCCCTGCAGCAGCTTGCTGCAGTGCTTCACCTGCTGCCCTTCTGGGCCGGGCTTTGGCCAGGGCGCATCGGGGGCCTGACCCTGCTTCCCTGAAGTGCAGACAAAATGAGCCAAACCCTGTGGAAAATGAGGCCGGAGCAAACTCTCAGCAGCCTTGATCTCCCATGTTCTCTTCATGCATCTGTTTCAGCACCCCGAAGTTCTATTTTTGTGAGATTATTTCAGCTTTTAGCATCCAACTGGGGAGGCAAACAAAATAGCTCAGTCGCGTTTTGCAGAGGAGACTAAACTGGGAGGTGACCCAATTCCGACGAGCTGGAATTAGCAGGCAGGAGGCACAGGGAGAGAATTAACCCAGGAACTAGGTAGGTGTATCTGCAGCACTGAGATCTCGTACCCCCACAGTCTGTAGGTGAGATGCAGATGGTTTTGGCGCTGTCTGGTTGCAAGAATGAGGTGATGGTTTCCCTATAAAATCCGGAGGGAAAGAACGTAGGTAGCATCATCCTTTCCAGGGTCTGCTTCCTGGCCTTCAAAGCACTGCGTGGAGCAAAAGGGCATAGAAAGGTAAACTAAGCCCTTCCTCTTGATATACCTCCCCCAAGCCCCTGTGCCTGCCCCTCACTTCTTATCACTAGGGCCAGAGGGAAGTATCCAGGGAAAGCAATGGTTAAGCACCATGGCTGCTCCTGGTGCTGGAGGCTTCCTCCGCTTGGGCAGCATCAGCTATAAATTTGTCAGACTTTGTAGATGTTGTGCCTTGAGGTTTTTAATTAAAAGCTGTTTTTAGGCTAAAAATGCAATGCTGAAGCAACTGTCTTGGTGGTAGCTCTCTGGGGAAACGTGTTCAGTGCTTGAATGTGTCCGTATCGGCTCCTGATGGATGTGGCATTGAAGCTGCTGCTCCTCAGCTAGCAAGCACAGATTATCCCCATTTCAAAGTGGAGGCCTTTGAGTGTAACAATTCAAAGATTACCATGGAAACATAATCTATAGTTAGTTCTGTAATATGCTTCTGTGATACTCCTGGGAGAAGAGCCTGGAGTCTCCTGATGATTGCACCCTGTGCGGCAGCGCCCCGGGCTCTGAGCTTTGAATGGAAGGTGACTGTGAGGGTGTGACAGAACGGAGGAGTTGAGTGCTGCAGGAGTGCTGCTGCTGCAGTGTCAGCAGCATCCAAGTGGTCCTTCACAGCTCTTAAATTCCTAATCATGAAAACATGTCCTTGAGAGTGGGTCTCTTCAGCTGTACGTGGTGCTTCTCTCGCTTTTGGGGGGGTATCTGATGTATAATGTAAGGACCCTTATGAGAAAGTCACCAAATTTGCCATTATCAATATTCTAAAGGGTAAGTTTCATTGCCCAGAGAAGCTGTGGCTTCCCCATCCCTGGAAGTGTTCAAGGCCTGGTTGGACAGGGCTTGGAGCAACCTGGGATAGTGGGAGGTGGGGGGTGAAACGAGGTGGTTTTTAAGGTCCAACCCAAACCATTCTGTGACTTTGGGTGGTATTAGGAGTTTAGATACCCGCTGGGGTCTCTGGTGAATGTAATTACACTTGCTGATTTCCCTTTTCAGCTTTAACTATACTTTATCTGGACATCCACTATTGAATATACTATTTTCAGGAGACAAACTCCATGACCCTTGTGTACCTTACAACTGGATTAAGGAATGAACGGGCAGAAGGATGGCTCTAACTCTAGAATGAACCACTGGCTATGTTTTCAGAACTGAAAAACTCCAGGATTTCTCCTTGCAACAGATTTATCTTATGGGAAGTTCTCTTCTACTGCAGGAAGTTCTCTGAGGGTGGATATTGGAGATTTGGTTGCTGCATTTTCCTTTCTCATGTGGTTCTTCTTGAGGTGTGGGATGGTGCCTACCCTGGGCCACCTTCTCTAATTCCAGACAGGCGTATTTTGCAACTATAACTTCTCCCCTTTCTGTTTTTCCAGGGTCTCTGGTATGCACTTAAAGCCATATCTCAAGTTACAGAAGAAAGAGCGATCCCCAGAAATAAGCCAGGATTCCCTGCGAGGCCACCAAGGATCAGCACAAGGAGAAAAATACACCACCTGCACCAAACTGAGCGTTTTCCCAAAACCCTCCCTCGTGACTCCATCTCAAAAGCTTCTGGGGATTATTTATCCGAATACTATGTGCAATATGAACGGGAAAGGTCCAGCGGATGGTCCGAGTGCAAGGGAAAAGAAGAACGCCCTGTCTGCAACGATCCACCAGGGAGAGGAAGGGGAAGGGCCTCTGGATGTCTGGGCCGTGGTGAAACCTGGCAACACGAAGGAGAAGATCGCGTTCTTCGCGGCCCAGCAGTGCAGCAGCACCAGCCGGGTGGGCTCCATGAAAATCAAGAGCACGTGGGACATCGACGGGAGGACGGCCAAGCGCAGGAAAAAATCGGTGGACCTCAAAAAAGCCAAAATCCAACTGGAAAGGATGAGGGAGGCCAACGCCAGGTGCTCCCAGCCGGAGCCTTTTGCCTGTGGCATCGAGCAGTGCTCGGTGCACTACGGGAGTGACAGCGGAGAGGGGGCGTTCCCGGGCCGGTCCCTCTCGGTGATAGAGATGGTGGCTTTCCTGGAGCAGCGGGCGAGCGCTTTGCTGGTGGACTGTGCTAAAACCTGCACGGCTGCTCCTGCCACGAGGCCGAGCGCTCAGCCCAAGGGGGCCCTTCCCGGCTCCGACCCTTTTTCCTCGGCCGGGGCGTGCGAGGTGCCCGCGGAGCAGCAGGGCGAGCCCGTGCGCGTGCTGGACATGGTGGCCAAGCTGGAGTCGGAGTGCCTGAAGCGCCAGAGCGAGCGGGAGGCCGGGAGCCTCTCCCGGAACAACAGCTTCCGCAGAAACGTCGGGAGGGTGCTCCTGGCCAACGGCACCCAGCCCGAGGGAGAGGCGGGGAAGGGGGTGCCGGGGGTTCTGGCTCAGGGGGATGGCTTGGGGGAGGCGGGGGTGGCAGAGGCGGGATACGGAGGTCGTTGTGGTGCTCTGGGTGACGCCGAGTTGTGGGATGGCGGCGCCTCTGCTCGGCGGCCTTTTCCTTCGGGGCTGGATACCCGGATGGGGAATGTGAACTCGGGACTTGCTCACGCGGTGCTGGCGATGGCAGCCGGCAGGAGCGACACTGAGACACGGATTGAGCCTCCCAGAGCTCTGCTGTCCTCGTGTCCAGCTGCTGCTGCCAGGCTGCCACCGGATCCCTTGCAGAGCAAAAACGCGACTGTTGATTGTACGTCGAAGGAGCCTGTGATTTTCCCAAAGCAGAGCCTGCATCCTGCGAGAAAGGAGCCCTTGTGCATCAGTATATCCGTCACCAAGACCGAGAAAGGGTGCAGGAAAGAGAAGCTCTCCAACTCCAGTTCCAGTGAGGATTCGCTCCCGGGGAGGCTGTTCTTCCTCCAGGACGAGCAGCCTGCTGCTCACGAGCAACAGCCACCGCGGGAAAGTACCCAAGAGAAGCCAGGAGAAGTAGCCCAGAATGAGGATGAGGATGCTTTGGCATCCGGCAGGTTGTGTGTCAGGAGCAGTGTCCCTACAGAGCCATCGGCCCCCTCTGTCCCTCCCACAGAAGGGGCCTTGCAAGTACTTGACGCTTCCTGCCTGAAAAGGCAGGTTTCGCATGACTTTCTGGAGACCAGGTTTAAAATCCAGCAGCTTCTGGAGCCTCAGCAGTATATGGCCTTCCTGCCTCACCACATCATAGTGAAGATCTTTGGGTTGCTCCCTACCAGGAGCCTGGTGGCCCTGAAATGCACTTGCTACTACTTCAAGTTCATCATCGAGTACTACAACATCCGGCCGGCGGACTCGCGCTGGGTCCGGGACCCCCGGTACCGGGAGGACCCCTGCAAGCAGTGCAAGAAGAAGTACGTGAAGGGGGACGTGTCGCTGTGCCGGTGGCACCCCAAACCCTACTGCCAGGCCCTGCCCTACGGGCCTGGCTACTGGATGTGCTGCCACCGGTCCCAGAAGGGCATCCCGGGCTGTAAGTTGGGTCTCCACGACAATCACTGGGTCCCCGCCTGCCACAGCTTTAACCGCGCCATCCACAAGAAGACCAGAGGAGCGGGAGCCGAAGTGGAAGAGGAATATTAGTGCACATACACTTTTCCTGCGAGATTGTTTGGGGTAGGAGGAGATTCTCATGCCTTGTGCTGTTTACAGTGTATATAATTGTCGTGGTTACTTTTTTTTTTGTTGTTGTTTTCCACAGGGCTATGAAACTGCACATACTCAAACACAAGAGCCTTTACCTTTTAGATTAAAGAGAGCTTTTAGTCCATCTCTGTAAATAACACTATAAAAAAACCCCTAATTGTACATACAGAGTCTACAGCTGGCTGAACAAGGTAACCCCCTACAATGCAGCTATCCCAGTGTTGCGGCTATAGGTGTGTGTGTTTTTAAGTGTCTTGTTTCAAAATCTGTATATTCCGCATAATATATGAATGTTTCTGAGAAGAAACTCTAAATAGGTAAAGGTCAACTTGTTTAAAGAAGCTGCAGACAACTTAACTGGACAACCTGAAACTTAGACTATAGAACAGACCCATTATAGTAGCGTGGCAGTGGATTTAAAAAAAAAAAAAAAAGAGATTAATATTATTGTATAGTCAGAATATAAAAAAAAATTCTTGTCTACCTTACCCATGTTGTCTGTTTTTTTTTTTTTTTTACATAAATAAAACGTGCATTCTAGATCTGCCTTACCAGACTTTCTCTTGTAAGACTTTTGCCCCGAAATAAAAGTGCTGTAAAACACGTGGCAGAAACTTGGTGCTGTGCTGTAGTTCAGACGTGCAGTGAGCTTCCTCTGGCAAACCTGTCCTGCTAACAAAGGAACAAAAAACCCACCCCCCCAAATCTCTATTCCTTGGAGAACTCCCTGCTGTAACATTCACAGATTCCAGCTTTTCCTTTCCTTCCTGTCAGCCCTGCGTGCAGAAGAGGCTCCTGTTTTTGGGAATTCTGGTGCTAGGTGTGTAAAGCTTGCGAAAACAGGAACTTTCGGGTCATCCTGCTTCTTGGCTCTTGTGTGGGCACCTGCCTTGTTCCCTGGAAGCTCCAGGGCAGAGCGTGGGTCCAGCAGGATGGATGTGGAGTTGCCTTGGCTCTGTGATTTGCTGGAAGCTTTGCCATCTGCTCTATGTGGAATTTGTCCCTTCCAACAGAAATGCTTGCAGTGCTTTGCCCTGCCCTGCTGCAGCCTCTGGCATCTCATTCCTTGGGTGTGAGTCGGTGCTTTCCAGGGGAGTTGTGACGGTTTGTGTTGGGTGAACAGTGATTGCTCAAACTGGGAATGGGAGTGGAGCATGGCATCTGTTGCAGTATTTCCCTGAATACATTCCTCTCCTGCAATGCCGTGATCCAGACTCCAGTTACACCCCTCTGATGAATGGTTTGGAAATCTGGGAATGGACCCTGGACAATCCAGCAACCATGTTAAGCTCCGGGGAGCTGAGTCAGTGGAGCAGCAGCCCTTTTTCCAGGGAGCCAAATGGAGAGTGGCAGCTCTGCCTTTGCACTGTCCAAGTCCTTTCTCTCCTCACACTTGGTGCTGTTTCTCTGCCCCTTCTTAAGGCACGGATGGACTCCTGGCAGTCACCATTCCAGCTGGAGCAGCCAGAATCTCTGACCTGGTGCAAGAAGAGCCAGTGCCACCTTCCCGTGAGGCTCATGCCGGGCCTTCCTCTGCCCTGCAAACCCCAGGGGGCACCTGGAAAGGGCAGGAGCTCTGGATGAGGTGGCCCTGCACCTGGCTCATCCTGTTGGCACTGGATCAGCAAGGTGTGGAAAACTGCTGGCTGTGGGGGCCAGGCTGAGCTCCCCACCTCCCTCCGCTTCACCTGCACTGGGATCACATGGAGCGACTCAACCTTGTTCTGGAGTGAGGACAGAGAGGGTTTGAAGGTGGATGCTTTTATTCTTTCCATTAACTGTGAGAGAAGGAAAACCGAGCCCTTGCAGCCTGATGAAGTGTGGGTTTGATGAGCTCAGGGAGATTTAAAGGATGTGCTGGGTTTATTTTTTGCCTTTACCTGCTCCTGCCACCCCGGGTGTCAGACACCCCTCCCTGGCTGCTCGGCCTCCCTGCGCTGCAGACATGATGACAACCACGAGGAATGAGACCAGGAATCTAAGAGGAGGGTGCGGCCCTCCTTGTAATCGGCTGGGAAGAGGGAGAGGAAAAGCAGGATCCCTGGTTAATCCGTGACTTCATCCCGTAACGGGGCGCAGGCTTCACCCAAACTTCCATCTGCTCCCTCCGGACGAGCAGCAAAGCAACTGCCAGGCTGTTGTTTGGCCAAAGCCGTCGGCATCAAAGGCCTCCAGCTTGATTTTGATTAAGGGAAAGGGGAAAGAAGCTGCTTTCCTGCCCCCCACCCAAGACTCTGGAAAACTTGAGGCTGAGCAGCAGCGAGGAAAGTCCCCGCGAGGCTGGAATGGAGCGGCAGAGGAAAATATTTTGTAATTAGATAAGGGGCCAGTGAGGTCATTTTTTTTGGAACAGAGTGTGAGATTTTGGTCACCTTTGTTGAACAAGGGGAAAAAACAAGCATAAAATAATATCATTAGGCTATTTTGTTCCTTGGAACAGGTAAAGCTGGAGGACAACTTGTTGTCTACCCTGCCCCATCCCTGCCCTCCCCCTGAGGTGGCTGGGGAGTGTGGGCTGGTTTATGCATCATTTATTACATTGTTTGCTGGAACTGTCCCTGTTGCACAGCATTGCTGTTAAAAATTGTTTTGCAGAACAAGCTTTTGCATCCAGATGTGGGTTGGTTCTGAGTGTTGCCATGCTGAGCTGCCTGCAGGCTTTTTCTTTCCTAAAAAGTACTAAAGTGCAGATTTCTGTTTCCTTAAGGGATGGTTCAGGGAGAGCCCAAGGTCCAGTGAACTTTTTTGTTTCCTATGAGTCAATCAAAACAACAATCCAGTGTTGGATTTACAAAGTTCAGTGTTTAGAACTGAGGATGAAGGACTGCACCATGTGCTTGACTTCCCTGCCTGGGAGCAGTTGGAGTGTCTGGACTGAATTTCCAGATATGCCTGCAAAGAAGTTGTAATAACTTTTCCATTGTCTGTGAGCTTCCAGTTTTCATCAAGCTCTGGGACTCTCCTGGCATGGACACCACAGAAAAAGCTGCCCATGGCTGAGGCTTGCGTTTGGGCTCTTGCTCCATCCTGGCTGTTCCTGCAGCAGCTTTTCCCTTTGCTGTGTCTCTGCTCCCTGGGATGAGGTGCTGGGATGCTGCAGTGGAGCTCAGGTCACTTCCTGCAGTTTCTGCCCCTATGGCAGAACCTGGAACTGTCATTAGGGCCACGGAGATGCTCCAAGGGCTGGAGCACCTCTATTATGGAGAGAGGGTGGGAGAGCTGGGGGTGTTCAGCCTGGAGAAGGTTCCAGGGAGACCTTAGAGCCCCTTCCAGTGCCTAAAGGGGCTCCAGGAGAGCTGGAGAGGGACTTTGGACAAGGGCCTGGAGGGACAGGACAAGAGGGAATAGCTTCAAACTGACAGGGCAGGATTAGATGGGATATTAGGAAGAAATTCCTGGCTGTGAGGGTGGTGAGGCCCTGGCACAGGTTGCCCAGAGAAGCTGTGGCTGCCCCATCTCTGGAAGTGTCCAAGGCCAGGCTGGATGAGGCTTGGAGCAACCTGGGATAGTGGAAGGTGTCCCTGCCCATGGCAGGGGGTTGGAATGAGATGGTTTGCAAGGTCTCTTCCAACCCAAACCATTCTGGGATTTCACACCCACACAAAACTGCACTGAAACATCCAACCTCTGTCTCGAGTCCCACTTGCACGGTGGGAATGGTGCTGAAGCCTCACGCTGGGCTGTTTCCCTTCCCAGCCTGCCTTTGGCTGGTCCAGGCAACCCTGGAGTAGGGACAGGACTCGGGGCATTATCAGGCTGCTCTCCTGCCACAAACCCTTGTGGGCAGAGGACAAAACCTGCTGCTGGCCCTGCTTAAGCAGAGCTGACCTGAACATCCCATAGGCATGGGCTGAGCTCAGAGCCAGGCTTGGCTTTGCCCATGGCCAGGACTGACTGTGCTGTCACTGAGGCAACAACCTGCCCCCAGCTCTGCATGCAGGAACCCCAGGTGGCTGCTGCTCCCACTCCAGAGTGTGCAGCAGCCAGGAATCACGGGGCATCAGTCCTCCCCATCAGATACATCACAAAAAACTGAGTGGGAGGGGTTGGTTTTCCTCCATCATTCAGCAGCCTGTAACCCATGGGCTGCCAGGCCACCAGGTCCCCAGCGCAGAGCCTGCTCAGCCCTTTCCCATCCCTGTTGCTCAGACACTCACTGCTTCACAATTACATCCATAAAAAGCCACATCCTGCATCCTGAAATGACCTTGTAAGGAGGAGCATCCCCCTTTGCACGCAGCAGGAATTCAGCACCTGCAGAAACAAACGTCACCCAGCACACGAGCAGCCCCGAGCCAGGCTCACACGAGAGATTTACCCGTTTACATGTACATAGAGGGATGTGTGTGTGTGTGTGTGTGTGTGTGTGTTGTGCAGGAACCCGCCTCCTGCTCCCCTGGAGATGCAGTTATTTTATGTAAGAGTATTTTTTTAGAATGGGTATTGCTTATTCCACCGCTGTACGACTGATTGCACTGTAACAGGTCTGGTCCCTGTGATTGCTTTGAAGGGTGGAAATTCTTGTGTACTTTCGCCCAGCACGGTGAAAAACAGACCACACAGAAGTAACAGTTATAAATATACAACTTTAAAAAAAAAAAATTACTGTTAAAGATTTATTGCAATAATACAATAAAATTTAGAAAAAAAAAACAAACAAACCAACAACCAAACCATTTGTGTTCAGTTACATCGGAAGCCGGGGAGAGAGGCCGTGAGTTTTCACAGGTGAAAAGCCACCCCTGGGTGTCCCACCTGAGACCCTTCAAAGGCACCTGATTTTTGGGGATGAGCACCCAAAATCAGGCCCTTCCTTGGCAGCTCAAACTGGCCACCCCAGGTCACTGGTCAGGGCCAAAAGTCACGGCCTGAGCTGAAATTCCCATGTTCGTTCATGCTACACAAAGGGTTTTGTAAACTCTCAGCTGGCTGCCTTCAAATACCTATAATTACAGATATTCCTGTCCTCCCTCCCTCCCTCCCCTGCCCACCCCCCCAAACAACCTGGAAAACGGTGATTGCACTCAAGGTTTGGACACACAGAGTTCTCCCTCAGCTACACATGTGCAAAACACTCTTAAAAAAACCGCCACGACTTTTGTGTTCTGTTACAAAAAAGCCTTCCATGGAAAGCCCCACCCCAACACGTTTGAACACCCTCACCGTGCCCTTGTGCACTCTCAGAAAGTGACATGGCTGCCAATAAATTATTCTGGAAAACGTGGATAGGAAGTATATGGCTTAGAAAAGTTATTGTGTTGGATTTTCTTTCCCTAAGTTCATTCAGTGTACAAAGCTGAGTCATGGCCTGACCTTTCGGGGTTTGAAGTAGCACAAAGGCAGCAACGAAAGAGGGACTGAAATGCCTATGAAAAACAAACAAACAAAAAAATCCAAAAAGGTATTTAGATGGCAGGGTCCAGTGCAAAATAAATGAGGAGCCAGAAGGGGCTGCACAATATGAGCCCAGTATCTCATACTGGTGTGTGCTGGTTGCTCAGAGCTGCAAAGGATCAGAGAGCTGCAAATCATAAAGTGCCATGAGCCAGCAGTGCCCAAACCCCCTGGGCCCTGATCAGGCTCCAGTAGTCAAGGGAGCCTGGGCTGTTCTCTCCAAACAAACCCAGCTATTAGACCAAAAGAGCGGCAGGAGAGAGGGTGTTGTCCTCTAACAACATGTCTGTGTTGCTAGTGTGGAGTTAAGGGTCTTTGGTTCAAAAAAAAAAAAAATCAAAACTAAAGAAAAAGTAACTACTGACAACAGATGTCCAACCCCAAGGCCAAAGAGAAAGAGCTGCCATACAAGGGATGGGGAGGGGGGGAGACTCAGCTGGAACCCCCCATGTGGGTACGGGGCAGAGTGGCAGAAACCCTCCCTCGTGCAGGGAGGGGAGGATGGTCTTACCTTGGTTGACCCTGTGGAGAAAATGTCCCAATCCTAAATGTAAACTGCACGTTGGGAGCCTCACTGAGCAGCCCCATCCATGAGTGCTCCATCCCACAAGGCAGAGGAAGGGGAGGAGCACTTGTCCACCCACTCACCTGTCGGCATATCCCACCTCCCGTGGTTTCACCAGCCAGCTGCGCCAGGGAAACGAAATCAAACTTCTTGGCATTCAGTAAACAAAAAAAAAAAACACAAAACCCCACCATAAACAAAACAGAACAGGGTTAAAAACACATGTAGTGTGGAGAGCATGTGACTTCACCAAACTGGCTTGAAATGAGGTTTTTCTAATGCTGAGAAATGGCAAGACGGTGTGGGAACGGATGGAAATTATTGCAACAACGCAATCCCGGATCAGCATCGAATGTGGGTCTAGCGAAGAGAACGTCCAGTGTTTCTTTGGTGTATGATATTAAGAGTAAAGAGCCTGTGTGCCTTGGACAGCACAACACGAAACTTCTAGAACACCTACCAGTGGAAACAGCATGAAACAAGCCAGTTTTTCTACGGCAAAACTGGGTAAAAGATTCACAACCAAATCTAAAACAAGAGCAACTTTGCTGTGTGAATTCCCTGCCCATGCTGATTCTTTGTATTAAAAATATGGCAACAGAGATTAGAAAACATGTTAAAAATGCATAATTTTCATGTCCTGAATGAAAAAAATTTAGAAATACGCATTTCTGCATTATGCAAGACAGATTTAAAACACACACACACAGGAAAACCCTGTAAGGAGTTAAGAAAGTGGGAACTGCATTTGCACCACTGTCCAGACCGCGCCCTGAGCAGCCTCCTCTGCGCCCATCCCGATCCAAATGCTCCAAAATCTGTGTCTTCTTCAGAAAGTAGAGCTGGAGGTCGCTGGGTCCTTTGATATTCAATGCAGACAGAACCAAGACACAAAGTGCCCCCAGAGAATCCGTCAGGAGCTAATTTACAAAACGGGTCCGTCACAGTCACCTTGGGTAAATAAAAAGGTGTTGTTGTTTTTTTTTTTTTTTCCGGTTTACAAAACAAAAGTCCTTGACCTTTTCTTTGTTCCAGGCACTACTTAACTGAATATGTAAGGTTTCCTACAGCATTGTCGGGGAGGGGTTCCTTCCACAGCTCCTGTGACCCTTTGTCCCTGGTTAGCGGTGCCCGGTGTAGGCCTTGAACCACGAGGTCACCGAGGCGGCGGCCGACGAGATCATCCCGCCGGCGCTGCTGCTGGCGATGGGCTGGGACACCTGGGTGCTCTGGCTCTGCAGCATCTCCACCTGCTGCGAGGGGATGTCGCAGAACCTGGGGCTCGGCAGGTTCTCCCAGTCTGTGCCCAGGTCCGTCTCCTCGTCGCTCACGTGCTCGTCGCCGCTCTCGTCCGTCTCGCCGGCGGCGCTGGGATCCACGAACTCCATGGAGTCCTCGAGATCAGCGCTGATTTCGAAAGGCCCAGACCTGTGAACACGGACACAGTGAGCCCCAGGAATGCCACAGCTCTGTCACGGGTCCAGCAGAGAGATCAAACACCCCTGTCTTTATCAGCTGGCGGAGAAACTCACTGGTTGCAGAGCTGTGTTAGGACGGTGGTGAAACAAAAACACTTGGCCAAGGAAGTGACAGGGTTCCAGACCACAGAGCAGGAATGGTGGAAGAGCCGTTCTGCTTTGGCAGGGATAGTGGAACACACACTAGGGATGATAACTCAGAGCTCCACTGGTGGGAATCTCAGCTTGATGTGGAACAGCTTTCATTTCCAACACTGGCCCTGGCCAGGTGAGATGGCTCAGCTCTGTCTCTCTAACTTAGGAGACCTGGCACAACTCACTAGTGGAGACTTCTCACCTCACCCTGAGCAACACCTCAACACCTTTTTCACTATGAGACTGGTCAAACACTGGAACAGCTGCCCATAGAGGCTGTGGGGTCTCCACTGGAGACACTCCAAATGCCACCACACAGAATCACAGAATGGTTCAGGCTGGAAGGGACCACAGTGGGTCATCTGGGCCCACCTCCCTGCTCAGGAAGGGTCATCCCAGAGCACATGGCACAGGATTCTGTCCAAATGGTATCTGAATATCTCCAGTGGGGGACACTCCACGCCCTCTCTGGGCAATCTGTTCCAATGCTCAGTCACCTACACAGGAAAATTCTTCCTCATATTCAGGTGGAACTTCCTGTGCATCAGTTTCTGCTTGTTGTGTCTTGTCCTATTGCTTGGCACCACAGAGCAGAGCCTCATCCACCCTCTTGGCTCTCCCCCTTCTGATACTGATGGACAGGGATGAGGTCCCCTCTCAGTCATCTCTTGAGGCTGAGCAGGCCCAGCTCCCGCAGCCTTTCTTCACAAGAGGGATGCTCCACTCCTGAGAACCTGGCTCTGCTTTGAGCAGGGGCAATGGGCTGGATCTCCGGGAGTCCTGGCTAAACCCACCTGCACCGTGACTCCGGGTTCCCTGCTGCCACTGCCTGGTGGGAGAAGCGATTGCATCCCACCCCATCCCACTGCTTTGGGCTGCCTGTACTCCAGCCCAAATCTGAATCACCTTTACTGAGCCAAAGCAGGCACTTTCAGAGGCCTGTGACCCACGGTCAGAGACTGTCAGGGTTTCACAGAAGCAGAGAAAGGCACATTCCCCACAGCGAGCAGCATCCCTGCCAGAATTCGTTCCAAAGCTGCTCAGTGAAACATGAGCAAGAATTTCATGGAATCATGGAATCATTTAGCTTGGAAAAGACACCCAAGATCACCAACTCCAACCATAAAATACAGTAACTGTTGTAACACAGGCAAAAGTGTTTCTCCAGCCTTAGTGGGAGAAGGAGCCTGAAGCAGCGATTTAGCATGGAAAATTTTAATCCAGACAATCAAAGCTTGGCAGAATTCTATGTATATGAAAACAGTAGTGTGTAGAGGAGATTATCAGGCAACTAAATGCTTAGGTATCTAAAGGAAAATAGAGAGAGCTGGTTGCTGCAAACTTTGCAGCCAGCTTAGAAATTAAAGGCAAACACTCCCCTTTCATAATCCAGGAAGGAATGGGAGCGCTGCCTCCTGGCAAAGTGTTTTGCTTAACAAGGCAACATGAGAGGAGAGTCATCAAGTTTGAGGCCAGAAGGGACCATTAGATCATCTCAGGTGACCTCCCCTATAACAAAGGCCACTATGTTCCACCCGTTCTCCCTGTCCTGAGCCCAGTGACTCCTGCCTGGTGACAGCATCCACTCCAGAAACTCATCCAGCCTTGGGAGGACGACAGAAGGAAGCAGAACCTCACCTTCATTCTTGTGGGTAATTAATCTGTGTTTTAAGCACATGTGCCTCATTTCAACCAGCTCATACCCTTTGCTCCCAATGGTGTCTCTAAAGCCATTCCGCAGTCTGGGAGACATTTTATCCAAGTCTCCTGTAGCTCCTTCTTTTACTACCTGGACCCAGTGGATGCACCTGGAGCTCTGTGACACCTGCACAGGTACCCACTGTGACCCCTGGACCTTTTACAGTAGCTGCTTTCCAGGACACAGTTCTCCATCCTCTGGGTATTTCCTGCACCCTCCCTGTTTTCAGGCGAGCAGCAGCAAGCACAGATTTTTTTTTTTCCAAACCAAGCTGTATTACAAAGATTTGGCTCCCCATGTCTTTGGGCTGAATCAGTAAGGATATACCCAGAGAACACAAGGTAAGTGGGAAGAGGCAGTTCCTCTCAGTGGCACTGCAGGTTTTTGAATAAAACTAGATCCGTACAGGAGAATAAAGTGGAAAAGGAGATTTCGGAACACTACGTTTAAAGGGGGAATAAAGCATTAGTCACATCAAACAAATATTTGCAGACTGTCTCAGGAACAAGTGACTTGTGGCTGGATTATCCCAATGGGAAATCAATGTTGTTTGCTTCCTTATATTTAAGTTAAAAAAAAAAAAAGATTATTAAACGTGGTGTGTGCGAGGCCAGGAACTGACGTTCTTTTCGTCACGTACTGAGTTAACAGAAGAGTTGTCTTTAATCTTAATTTACATATAAATTAATATCATTTGAAGTGTCAACTTTGGTCTAGGGAGTTCACTGACTGGGAGTATTTTGGGAAAGGTCTGCCTAGGATGCTTGTCACGGTTTATGCTGCTGGATGCTCTCAGGTATTCACATGTTGGCAAGGCGTGGGCAGGGTCATATTTGGAGCATGGCAAGGCTGCCTGGCATATGTGCTGCTGTTCCCTGGAGGGAAGGAGTTCCTGCTTCTGGGCACGGGGGAAATAATTCCATCATCAGCTACCAAGCCTCCAGCTGGGCCTGCCATACGCTGAGACACAGCAAACACACGTCTCTGGAATCTGATTTCCTACTCAGGATCCCCTTTCCCTGTTCTCTCTTGTCTCCTCCTGTAAATACCCTGAGTTAAATACCCTGAGTTCTGTGCTCTACACATACAGCAGAAGAGAATTTCCCCTCACAAGTAACAAGGCAAAGGCATAAATTCAGAAGGGATTCAGCCACAAGAGATTTGAGATTTTGCTTTCCTTACCTGCCCAAGTTCTCAGTGTCTGGGCTGACCAGGTACATAAGGTTCCTGAGGGTGTGCAGTGGGTGCAGCAGATCTAAATTTACATGCTGCCAAGGGGAAGGAATAAAAAAAAAGAAAAAGGAAAACACATGATCAATTCCTGGAGGAAACCAGCAGGCACAGTTGGTATTTTAAAAGCTATTTAAAGAATCCAAATGTGCATTTCCCCTACCTGAGAGAAGCAAAGGTGAAGGATATTAGCATTCAGCTTCTTCACTGCCCGTGTGAACCTGTGTCTGCTGAGATTCTCTCCACAGAATTCGCTGTTACAACACCACACAGACACATAAGGACACAGAAAGCAAAATGCTGTGAAAATACACTTGCTGGAGACATCAGCATTCCGTGCCCTGGCTTCCTAACAAACCCTGGAGTAAACATCCTCGCAGTGAGCACTTGTTTAGAGTGTACAGCCAGTTTTAGAGTGCTCAGGAGATTAATTTTTCACCTGGCAAGTGCATTTTATCAACAAGCACTGCTTGCCCTGCTCTCACCGGTTTCCACAGGACAGGTGGTGTAAACTGTATGAAACCCAAAGATCCACCGTGGCCAAACTGTTTCAGGTCTCCTTTTAAATCTTGCATCATTTCCTATTCCCAGCCTTTCCCTTCTGTGAAGGCTGATGACCCAAATAAAAACCACAGAAGCACAGAATGGTTTGGGTTGGAAGGGACATTCAAAATCATCCAGTTCTAACCCCCTGTCACAGGGTGGAAGGAAAAGCTGAAACCCCCACACAATTTTTGTGCCCTCACTTCAAAACCCACTATCTGAAACGCTTTAAAAGAATTTCAGCAGCGTATTTGAGACCCCTGGAAGACTGATCAGGTGTACAGCTCCTTCAGTGCTCCTGTACAAATCCAGCTGCTCCACACAGACATCAAAAACTTAACAGTGCTTTTCATCCCAAACGGGGTTTGTGCAATGCACTCCTGGATATGGCAGCCAGGTATGTTCCCCATGGGTGTTTTATCCCAAAGGGAATTACAGTCCTGGCATATTATAAGGCCTTGCTTTACAGCACAGAATGTAGCAGAGCTATTCAAGAGCTGCTGAATTGGCCAGGATTTTGTGCAGCACAGCGGGGGTCCAAAAAAATGAAAAGTGCTATTCATGGACTTGTCATATTTCATTTCTAATTTGATGATGCTGAATACACCAATGAGAAAGGTGTTATTTCCAACTGTGATGGCTGCTCTACCCTCTCAGGAGGTAAAAAAGGAAGGACTGTTAACTGTGGTCTAAAATCCTACTATTGCTTTCCTCAAACAGCCCAAAAATCCACGAGCCATCAATGTTACCATAAAATCTGCTCCAATTCATGACTTCGTTCCCCAAACCAAACTAATTTAGGATCATCCCAAACTGGCCACTGATTCACCTCCTGTGTTTACTTGCCTGTTGCAGAGCTTCTTGGGAAGGTTTACATCAAGTATGAGAGACAAAGTGTTAACAAGCTGAGTTGCATAGCACAATGCAGCACTGATGGTATGAGCAGGGTTATTATGCTCCATATCTAAAAGAAATAAAAACAACATGAAAGTCTGGTTTTAAATGAAGCCTCGGTGGGTGTGCTAATGTGTTACTGAAGTCTACCCTGAAAAATGTCAGTTGTAAGTATGGAGAACAGCCTGAATCTAGCAATCATTTACAGTGAAATCTGTCAGAAGTTGGAAGAAAATAGTAATTCTTGGAATTCCTGCTAAGATGACGGCATGTGAACCATGTCAAAACTGTGAATAATTAACTTTATTTCTCTATTACATTGTGCTGTGTGTCCCAGTGAGCATTTCCTGCAGAAGAGGGTTTCAGCAGACTAGTCATAAAATCACAGAATGGTTTGGATTGGGAGGGACCCTAAAGTTCATCTTGTTTCACCCCCTGCCATGGGCAGGGACATCTTCCATTATCCCAGGTTGCTCCAAGCCGCATCCAACCTGGCCTTGGACACTTCCAGGGCTGGGGCAGCCACAGGGACCTTAAAGATCACCCAGTTCCAACTGGGCAGGGAACCTGCCACTATAATCCCCATACTGGTGTTTATTTCCGACTCAGAATTTGGGTGAGAACAAACGGGCCTGTCAACTGCTCCTCAGTGCCTTCCATTGGCATCCAAGGCTCCTGGAGCATCCCAGGTGCCTAAAAAAAAAACAAAACAGACCTTCCTCCTTACCGGGTCCTTGTGTGGTCTTCTTCTCTTCCACCCAGTTGTAGTAGGCCGAGTAGTCTCCGTTGTTGGGGAGGGTGATCCAGGGCCCCGTGATGCTGATGCTGGTGTCCCCGTTGTGGTCATCACACACCCACCTCCCAGAGAGGTACGTGGTCCTCCGGGCCTCCGCGAGCTTGCTCACAGTGCTTGAGGTCATGGCATTGTCACTCTCGGACGACACGTCCGCGGGGTCTCTGCGGGGCGACGGGGAGAGGGCGTGGTGAGAAAAATTTTAACAATGTGATCAAATACGCATTCAGAAGGCAACTGAGCCAGATTTCACCGGGGGCAGAACGCCTGGAAAACGCTCCTGCCGAACTTCTTATTCCCAAAACTACTTTCCTTCGTTCTGGGGTTTTTAATTGCTTGTTTTTGTAAAAAAATCACAGAACGGTTTGGGTTGGAAGGGACCTTAAAGACCATCCAGTTCCAACGCCCTGCCATGGGCAGGGACACCTTCCACTAGACCAGGTTGCTCCAAGTATCGAGGGCAAAATGCTTGTAGAAGCACTCCTGCAAAACTCCTTATTACTAAAACTACTTTCCTTTCATTTTGGAGTTTTTAATTACTTATTTTTGTAAAATCACAGAATGGTTTGGGTCAGAAGGGACCTTAAGGCTCATCTTGTTCCACCCCAACTGCCATGGGCAGGGACACCTTCCACTAGACCAGGTTGCTCCAAGCCCCGTCCAACCTGGCCTTGGACACTTCCAGAGATATGAATCCATATTTTAAGGAAGTTTAACACTGGACACATAGCTCAGATCGTTCAGTAGGGAGATGGAAGTACCTCCAGATCCTGCTATGGTGGACCTCTATCTTTGGGGAACACACCTCCTCCTCCCCTGTCATGCTAAGGGAGCCTGAGCCTCTACCTTAGACGGACACGACTCACTTCTGGGTGTCCAAAGCCAAGCCAAACGAGCCCAAAAGGATCAGCCTTCCCTACCTCATGCTTGTCTTCACTTCTTCAATGGGGAAGATGACCGAGGTGAGCTCCAGGATGTGTGTCCTGCGCAGGTTTGCCAGGTGCTCGTACTGGGTTTTCAGGTCGTAGGTTTTCTTCTCCACCAGGTCCCCCAGCTTGCGGTTGTGCCTCTGGATCTTCTCCTTCTTCTCCTGGTGCCGCTGAGCCCGGCGATAATGCTTCTGGTTCTCCTCCTTGATCCTCAGCAGCCCCTCCGTGTCTGTGGGAGCAGCAGCAGATGTTATCCTTGGAAGAGGAGCTTGTGGTAAAGCTTGAGAGAAAGCTTTATTAATATTTATGGGAAACAAGACCTACAGCAGCCTAAAACAGAAAAACCCTGCTAAACTATTAACATCTTCCAGCTGCTCGGTGGCACAACTTTTTTTTTAATCTTCTCTGAAGGTCTCCAAAGAGACTGCAACTGGGATTATTCTTTCCCTATCTTCTACCCAGCTATTTTTGGATTTGGAGCAGAAAAGCCAAGATTTCCCAGTTTAATTAAACTCTGAGGTAATCATCCTGACAGAAATAGCCTGACTGTACATGTTTGCATGGTGCTGGCCAAAAAGCCAGGCCCTGCTTGCAGCCAAAATCAAGTGCAGATAGCATCTTCATTCACCATTTCTGGCACCTCTGCTGCTGTTAGTGTCTTATTTGAGCTTCACACTCATGAATGTGCTCTTAAAGCACTTGGATCCCAAGGGTGCAGACTCCTTGTTTCCACAGGGAACACTGGCTATCTCCCTTCCTGGTCCCAAAATGAGAAGTGTGCTCATGTACTGAAGTGCTGCAACCTCCCAGATTCACTCCCATGCATCAGGCTTGGAAAAATATCCTTCAAGAGCATCTTGAAGCATCAAAGGTTGGACTTGATGATCTTAGAGGTCTTTTGCAACCTTAGTGATTCTATGATCTGCTGATTCTGCTATAAAAATAACTGACTGCAGCAATGCTTTCACAAACACATGGTGCTACAGAGAGTCAGCCACCTCTGCCTTTCAGCAGCATAGGGAAAGATTTCTTACACACTCTCCAAACAGATGTCTATAACTCTCAATTCACCCTAGTTTGAAGGGTGCCTGACCCTGCAGGCACAGAGGCTCCTTTCTCTGAACATCAGGAAATTACTTCCAGTCATCTGACCTGCTGCAATCCACGATGTGTCTGATAGGAAGGAAGATCTGACACGTGGGAGACGCAAAGTCCCAAACTAAAGAAGGTGAGAACAGTTTCTTCATCCAGATAAGAACTAATATTCCTCATGTTCATAAAATAAGTGACCCCTGTCAGAGAAATAGTAGTAAAACCAACTTTTCTCTGACAATCCCTTTGTGTCAGCTGTAATTCCTTTAAGCATTCCTCTGTGCCAACAGAAAATCAATTAACGCTCGCATTCATATTCCCAAACTCTCTCTTTGCATAAAGAATAAGAGTCAGAGGAGGAAGAAAACATCCATCTGTTCAATTTTCACATTCAAGTATTTGAAAGGCTACTTTTTCACAGAGTGAACTCCCTTCCCTGCAGGTCCAACAGCAATTATTTGAGAGCAGGGGAGATCACTGCACACACGTTTCCTCCTTGGAAGTCCCAGTGCAGAAACAACTGTCCTTTTCTGTGCACAGCACCTCTGCTTTGTGACCCAGTTTATGAGGTGATTAAAACCTGTCCCCAGGAGTATTTCAGGACACCACTCTGTCCCACATGCCTGCTCTGGCTGATAAATGCAAGCCCAGGCACACTGATCTCTGCCCAGAGAGCTCTGCCAGGGGTCTGCCAGCCCGTCTCCTTGAACTGTTCTCCACAGACAGGAGGCAAACACACACAGATTTTAAAACATTATTTTAACAAGTGCCAGTTATTGAGGTCTCCAGGAGAGTCGACCCCAAAAGCAGGAAGCCAATGTTCTAGAAACTGTTCTTATTTCAGGAAAATTAAACTATGCCATGTCCAAGAGAGGAGAAACAACTTTTTTACACTTTCTACTGTGGCCCAAGAGTGAACCAAGTTGGGTTCCTGATCTACTGGCTACTTGTGGCAAGAGTTAATTTTAGGTCTATCTGCAAGAGCAATTTTGGTGTAACTGAGCTGACAATATGTTAGTTGGACAATAGTTAGCTCAGTTTGTAGGTTAAGTCTAATCAAGTTCACTGTGAATCAAGAGAAGTTGCAAAAGTTGCAGATAACACACTTTATAGAAGAGTAGAAAGGAGGAACTCTACTCCCTGGTTGTTGCAAACATTCTGCCACCTTCAGAGCTGCACTTTGAGAAAAGGGGACTAAGTTCCTCAAAGTCACATTGATTTCCTCTTTTCCTTTCTTCCCAGGATAAAAAGTAGTCAGGATTTCCAAAATAATAATCTTCTACCTACTGAAAAGCTTGTTTTTCTTCACCTTCCCATTCTCTAAACCAAACACCAATTTTCTTAGCCATTCCTTGTGTTTTATTCCCAATATTCTCTTCCAGACTTTCTCCAGTTGACCTGTTATCTTTCTTTAATTGCTCCAGTTGGACACCAGACTTCCACTGAGGCAACACCAATGCTGGGCACAGCAGGACAACCGCTTCCATCTTAAATACAACACTTGCATTGGTTAACCCAGAACGAGGACTGAATCTTTCTGGAGCAGCATGAGATTGATTAATTTTTATTTAATTTGCAATTCCCCAGATCCTTTCCTGCCAAATCTCACAAGCATCTCCCACTTTAGGTTTGTTTTTCTCTTTCCTAAACGATGTGCACCCAACTTTGTCCTTTTCAGATGATGTTGCTCATTTATCTGCATGATTTTGACCCGGATTCTGTTCTCTGCAGAAGTCATATCATCATCCACCTTGGCTTCCTCCACTCCACCTTCTATTCTACCATGTGAGCTATTATGGGATATACTGAGCAGAACTGGGCCAGAACTGGCTCCTGCTGAGCTCCACCTGCCTCATCTCCTCGGTCAGACCAGTGTCACCACTCTCTGAAGGCAGCTTTTCTAACCTTTTGGGCCAAGCTTGCAGGGATTACAGAACAAATGTCTTTGTTTGCTCATGAGACAGTTTCAGGTAGTGCCCAAATCCAAGTTATGTGCAGCTTCTGCCTCATCCTCCACTACAGCACCTGATCCCCAGACCTGACATGGCCTATTCATAACCAAGTGATGTCTATTTTTAACTACCTTCTCTTCCAGTTAACAGCAAAGTGCCCACAGGTTTATAACAGGATGACTGTGTCATCAGTTTATTTTTCTTTCTTCCTCCATCCTTTGAAAACAGGGACTGTTTTCACTCTGTTTCTTGGGACACCCTCTCTCATGTGTTTCCAAGTGCTCCAGACCACTTCAGCCTGTTCCTTAACTTCCATAAGGCCTTGCTGACACAACCAAAATAATATTTAGCTGTCTGCTTCCTTTCCTTAGCCTGCAGTCCTCTCATGATGTACAATTTAATCTGGCCAAGCAGCTGATCACATTTTCTTTGTGGAAAGATGAAGCAAAGGCAGCTCTAAATGCTCCAGACTTCTCTGCACTGTTACTTGCTCTGATTCCTGTTAATTAACAGACTTGTCTACTCCTTCACCTTTTACTTATTATACATTTCCTATTGTTAGTATCCACCTTCCTTATTAATTGAAGATCATTTTGCATCTCAGCCTTTTTGCTGTGATCACTGCAAGCCTGTGCTACTGCTTTATAACCATTCTCAGGTTATGCCTCTGCTTCCACTCTCCGTATTCCTCTTGAATTCCAAGTCATAAATATATCCCTGATTCCACCAATATGCTTCTGAATACGCTCCCTCTACTTCTTTTGCATGCAGGTTGTAAGGAGTGGTGCAAACTGACCCTACAAATTTAGTGTAAAACATCTAAGGAGTTTCTGAATGGAGCTCACCAGCCTACACTGTATTTCAGTGACTTGCTCAAGTAGGATTTTCAGGTTTTCAGACAGGTGTGGGTTAAAATCCAGCAGTTTCACGAAATCTGTAACAGCTGCAGAGCTGTTTTCTCCTCTTTATCAAGAGGAAGTGATCAGAAACACTACACTGAATAAAGCCATCTCCAGGGACACAGCCGAAGTCACAGGCTGCTAAGCATTTACTTTTAAAGCTGTTGCAAAAAGGATCTCCATCCAGCTGAATAATGCCTGCTGTTTGCTAATTAAAACCCAGGCATGAAAAGGCCAAAAATCCACTCACCGATTTGCCTTCGAGTTGATTTCAGGAGCGACGGTTTGGAAATTCACTGTTTTTTAAAAAAACAAACAACCTAACGCTCAAATTCACCTCAATTGATTTTTCACTCCAAGGCACGGGGAGTTTTTTCACTTCACAAAAGCAGGGGCATTACTCACGTCTTGTCATTTCGTCATTTTCTTTGCAAATGGTCTGTTTCAGCTGCTCAATCCTCATCTTGCAGGACATTATTTTCCATCTCTGAAGAAAAAAAAATAAAAAAGAACATTCAGCAGCTCTGGGGCACAAAAGACTTTAAACACACCGACTAATAATTAACAACAAAGGCTTTAGTGCACAAGTAGCAGGATGCTCTTCAATGGATCAAACAACTAAATATTTCATATAGTGTTCTGTGCACAGAAGAATGCCACAAACAAAACGAATGCTTAGTATGAAGTCAATCAGGAAAATTAGTTATTGAACAAATATCCAGGGAGAAATGAAAATACTGACAGTTTGGAGTGCTCTGCTTGCAGAGCCAATTTCAGTTTTGCTTACAACAGGCTTTTTGGGAAAGCAACACACTGCCCTCAAGGTAAACTGTAACTTTAAACTATGAGATCCAGGAATTCAGAGAGTTTAAAAACCGTGGGACACTTGGAGCAACTCACCAGCTGATCAGTTATCTCTTTCCCTTCCATGGCCTTCAAAACACTAGAGGAAAAAACATGATTGAAAGTTTATGACTATGTGAACTGGGTCTGTCTCCAGCAACAGTGCATTAGAGAGACTGTTCTGCTTTTATGAGAGTTCTTAGACTTTATATTCATTTAATAGCTTCAACTTACTGTTTTTGGAATTCTCTCTGTTTGGTTTTAAGATGCATCAGCCTTTCTTTCTTGTCTGAAAACCTGGAAGAGATTAAATGCTTTTATTGATATTTTGCACAATACAACACTTGTAAGTTGTCTGAAAAGATAAAAAGACCGAAGCCTGTGGGATTCTCCAAACCTCAACTATCTGTCTTCATCTTGGGAAGTAATGGCTAAATGTATAAAACTCTTGCAGAATTCTGGAGCGTGTGTCTCACTGGAATTGCAACAGAACCTCTAAGATGAGGAAAGATCAGTGTTGGATTAACAAACTTGTAAGCCAATTACTGCTATATCTAGATTTACAGCTTAGAAATGTCAATACTTTGTGTACTAAGAAAAATATAGTACTCTAAAATCCTTTAGTGACTGGAGAAATTAATAGTACTATCTCAGATAGTCCAAGTGGCTGTTTTCAGCTCTGCTTCACTGGATGTCTGAGGTATGGGAACTGCAAAGAACTGATCAGAAAGGACTCTTTTTAGGATTCATCATCCTGTGCTTTCACCCTTTGAATATGCAGCAGCCACGTTCTGCCCCCCTCCATGTTCCACAGTGTCTTGGGAAATACATCTAAAGAAAATATGAACAATGCAGATGGAGAAATCACAACAAAGCAAGAAGTGACAAAGGTGAAGGTGAGGGCAAACAGCAAAAGAGGGAGCCAAGAGATTTAAACATAAGCAACAGCAAGTGTGCTTTGTCTTCTTGTGCTTGTGTTACAGCACCATCCTGACCTGCACCTCAAAAGTGCACCTTGGGCTGAGTCCAGGTATGAAAACCAATTCCTTCTATGTAGAATTGACAATTTCATCCTAGCAGAGGTCTAATATTTGTGGCTGCCCCATCCCTGGAAATGTCCAAGGCCAGGTTGGACGGGGCTTGGAGCAACCTGGTCTAGTGGAAGGTGTCCCTGCCCATGGCAGGGGGTTGGAACAAGATGGTCTTTAAGGTCCCTTCCAACCCAAACCATTCCATGATTCTATGATTTTACCTACAACCCAACAAGTCCTTTATTTCAGGGATCTTTATTTAGAAAGAATAACACACTAAGCCCTGACAGGATGGCATCTTGGGGCCTCCCTCTCTGCTCATCTGTGGGTTTGATTTCGGGTGAAACTTTCAATTGCTTCACTTTTTTCCTCCAAGTGCTGAAATCTGAAACCTTGGTGGCTACCTTTGGGTTCAGAGAGCGTGTAATCACCCTTCCAGATGACGTTAGCATTAGAACAACAACAAAACCACTGGCTGCCGCTCCTGTAGTCAAGCAAAAATATCTGTTTTCCTTCCAAAACAAACCAAAACCAAACGCAGGTGCTTGGCATAAAAGCCAGAGGCCACACGTGAGCCAGAGGAATGTGGTGCAACTGGAGCCCAGTTGCTCACCCCAGTTCTTCCTGTGTGTCCTCACCCCAGGAGTCATCATGGGAATGACAACAGGCACTCTAAGAGCCTCCTGTTTACCACAGGGCACTGCACACCTACTGTACCCCGACCTTTGGCTGCAACCAAAAATCCCTTGGCCCAGAAACGCAGAGCTCAGCAGTCCCACAGCGAGGGGTAATTTGGCAATCCTTGTTTTCAGGCTGGATTAATGGGCACTGAACAAAAATTACCCGACTCAACGTCCACCACATCAGCAAAAAGCTGAATGAACTGTCAAGAACCTGGGAGTGAATTAAGTTCTCGCTGTGGAGGGGAGACAGAAGTATTTGTGAAAGCCTGTAAAAGTTACAGCTCACCACATGATGCCAAACAGCTCCTACCAACTTCTTCAGCGGGTTTCTCCTGAGGAAACATTTCCATTTCTTTATATAGCTCCCATTTTAATTGCATCTCATGGTGCAAACTCATTTTTCTTTATATATCTTTAGCCTTTCCATTTGGCACAGAAACAAAACTTCGGATGAACTATTATAGGAACTCCCATAAAATGTAAACCGAGAGGGGAGAACATCTCAAATTACCCATTAAATGCTTCTCTTTCCTCAAGTCTTATCACATTAAGCTGAGATTTTCTAGGGTTACCTGGTTTATTTCCACATGTTCATAATTAGGGAGAAGCAACCAGAAAGACAGACTTCCTAATCTATAAGAGTTGATTAATGCTGAAGGAGTTGAGGGCAGCAATATTACTGTACATATTCACTATAATAAAACTCCCTTGCTGTGAAAAGTCACTACTCCTAATCATAACCCACAGCCTAAAGAATTCAGACAATCATATTGTCTCTGGCTTTTGTCATCTGAAGACACATAAAGCAAAGCAATTCAGCAGGTCTGTGAAATACACTCTGAGAATTTATCCCTATGACAGGCTGGGGGACACTCCTGGGAGGAAGAAGAGTCTCTGAGCTGACACCACCACCAGGATGCCAGCTTGGCTTTTGGAACAGACAACACATTAGTAATGAAAAGAAGAATGTCAGTGATTATTTTACTGGAGGACTTCCGGACTACTCATCCTTAATTGTAGCTCTCCTTCAATAATTAATCTCAGCAGCTCCTCAGTCTCTCCCCCCTCACAGATAACAGGGTGTGATTTTTGCCTTCAATTTTACTGGAGCTTTTTTTTTAAAAAAAATTAGCATGCAAAACAGTCCAGTGAAACCTGAAGTAATTAGAACATGAAATAATTTGTCTTACTACAAGAAAATTCTAAAAATAAACCCCAGTTGGATACAAGGAGTGACGCTTGCTCTCTTTACTTTTCACTAGAAAGAGAAGGATCCTGTTTTCCCCCCAATCTGTAACACTTAAAAAAGACAAATAGGAAGCCCAAATGCCCCCATACACTTCCACATCCTGAATTTCTCACACCAGGTCACCCAGCAAAGCCCTTGCCATGACCCTGTCAGCCTCCTCCAGCACCAGCTGATCTAAAATTAACCAAGGCGCTACTAGAAGGCATAAAATAAACAAATAAATAACGATGGCAGTAAACACAACCCGAGACCCAGCCAGTTCCCTGCACCTGTCCCTGCATGGCTTTGGTCACCATGAAAAATGTCTCTCCCTCTTTCAGTGGCCACATCCCAAGATGTTCAGAGGGGAAACAAGAAAAACTGGCCTCAGAAGTGTCTCACTCCTACATCGGTCATTCAAAATCTTAATTAAGGAAAGCAGACAAACTATTTCAAGCACAGTTTTAAAAATAACCCCATTATCTTCCAAACACAAGAAGAAACTCAAGAAGGTTTACAGAGCTTCATGCCTACACTGAGCAGTCCCCCTGTCATCAAGCACACTTAGGTTGTTCACGTTGTGTTATTCATATAGGTGAGTTTTTTCTTTAATTCACCAAAATAAATGTGCCATTTTTAGTGAATTGCACTTCTGCAGTTCATTCATGGAAAGTTCTGAGCAGGAGGAGAAACAAAGCCTGGGGAAATCGAGCCTGTAGGGAGGCCATGGGATAATAAAAGAGCAGTGATCCCCCAAGGATGGAACTGTGATGTCCAGGCAGAAGGGAGGAATAAAGGCAGAAAAAATAAAGAGACTTAAATTCCTGCAGTTAGGAAACACAGCATAAATATATAGAAGATTTTTCTAGCCACAGACAAATGGGGCAGTGAAAGCAGCTCAGGAGGATGCAGTGAAAACTGTCAGACAGAAAAGCTGATCCTGTGTCATGTGAGAAGATATGAGGAGGATAAAAAAGGTCTTCTTTTCCCAACAAGCTGTTGCTTCTCATACTTTGGCTAAAGCTGCTTCTTTATGGCTTCATTTGTCTGATGGGCAGAGACTTCTTAAGCCTTGGTTAATACAGAACAACAGTGGTTCAACTCTAACAAAGGCCACAACTGGATTTCTATAATTAAACCTGATGTTTAGCCAAAATCTTATGGCTATAAAAGAGGCAGGGAAAAAAACCCCTCGGTTTATGTTCCAAACTCCAAATCCAATTTTTTCATGGAAGCTACAGACAACCCCAAGCAGTTTCACATAGATACAAGTTTTCCACCTATTCTGGAAAGACTAAATACAGCTTGTGGTTCTATAACACAGTTTCTATATATATATAAAAAAAGAGAAAGCCCATCCAGTGGCAGACTAAGGTCTCAGATTTCCAAGCTGACTCACACCGGCTGACATCCTTTACCCATTCCCACGGATGTTAGTGGGAGAAAGGCACCACTGTCCCCTTGTTTCTCGGGACACAACAAGCCTTCGGATCGAGGGCACCACCACAGCACACACTGCTCACCACCTTCCCAAAATAGCTCCAGGAATCGCTCCCAACAGCTGCTAATGAAGCCACCAATGAAGGACCAAGAACACAAGTGTCAGCCAAGAATCAGAGCTATTCCAGTCGTGTCACTGGGAGACTTTTCAGGAATCTGGGATGGCCACGCTGTGAACGACAGCAATGGAGGAGCCATCTGAGTCATACAATGAGAAAATTTGTTTATGGCCATAGCACTCATCCTCAGTGCTCCAGGAGGGGCAGGACAGCCCATGATTAACTCAAGCAGAGTGTTTTTTTTATAATCCTAAAAGCAGGGCCATGATTAGGACTATTTATATAGACAAGAAAATGTTTTTTTTTCCTCACACGCCTTTCTGATTCTGTCTAACGATGTAGAAAACTGTCAGCTTAAGGCGAGTTGGTGAAAACAGGAAACACATTTAAAATAACTTAATACACGGGTCTTTTTTTGCCCTGAATTGTTTGGAGCTTCTGTGGCTACACCGACACGGGCACACCTGCTGAGAGCTACACCTGACTAAGTGACAGTCAGGGCGATATAGTTAATTATTGTTACAACTATTATTATTTTAATAGAAATAAGAGGAACATGCCGAGGGTCCTGCTCCGCCCGACCCCGCCAGGCAGCCCCAGGGCCGCTCCCTCACCCCACACCCAGAGCCCCCCGAACCCCATTCACCTCCCCCGGCCCCGGGGGACAACCCGGCCCCCCATCGGAGCCGGGGAGGCGCAGCCCAAGGGCCACCCGGCCCCCCTCCCGACCCAGGGGCAGGGGATGGAGAGGGGTGGGGGTCCCGTCGCCCTCAGCGCCGCCGGTACCTCTCGGAGTCGCGCCCGTCGAAGAAGACGAAGTCGCCGCTCTGGACGCACTTGGCGCAGGTGAGGCGGCGGCGCGTGGTGTTGCAGAGCGGGCACCGCTCCACCGCCACGTAGAGCCCCTCGGCGTCCTCGTCGGCGCCCCGAAGAGCCCCGGCCCCTGGGCCGCTCCCCCCGCCCGGCCCCGCGGGCTGCGGCCGGCGGCCGCTGGGAGCCGCCATGATGGGCCGCGCGTCACGTGGGGCCCTGTTGTCGGGCAGGGGATTGTGGGAAAGCGGCGCTGAGGCGGCGGGAGGGAGCGGGGGAGGGAGAGCGATGGGCAGCGCTCCGCGGGGAAAACGCTGCTTCGGATATAAAACTGCGCCCTTTCCCTTCTGCGGAAGGAATAAAAACCACCCCTGCCGTGCTTCCAGAGCGGGCGGTGTGTTGTATTCTGGTCGCCGGGGCTTCGCGCAGTCATCCGCACCAGAGCCGGTCACTGACGCTGCTGTGAGGACCGTGGATGCCGATCAAAGCCCGTCCCTCTATTTACAATAATATCAAAACCCAGCTGTACAAGTAGCAAATACTGATGCGCCTCGTAAAAAAAAAAAAAAGCGACAGACGAAGAGGTTTCCTCACCCCAGCTCCGCTGCCGGAGCCAGAATGAGGAGTTAAATACGTGTGATCAGCTCGTGTGTAGGGGCAGAGAGCCCACTCCTCTGCATCCGTGTATCATGGAACAGGTTGGGTGGGAAGGGACCTCAAAGACCATCTCGTTCCAACCCTTGCCATGGGCAGGGACACCTTCCACTATCCCAGGTTGCTCCAAGCCCTGTCCAACCTGGCCTAGAACACTCCCAGGGATGGGGCTTCCACAGCTTCTCCAGGACACCTGTGCCAGGGCCTCACCACCCTCACAGCCAAGAATTTCTTCCTAATATCCAGTCTAACCCCCCCTCAGTTAGTGTGAAGTCATTCCCCCTTCTGTATATAGTGGGGAACACCAGGAACATACATGTGACATAGTCCACACAAGCCAGGATAGCTTCAAGCAATATCCCCCTTCCAAAAAAAAGCCCCAACCCCAACAACAAAACATGCCCTGGTTGTATTTTTTTTTTTTTTTGTGGTAAAGAGACTCCCAGCCTACCGAGCCTGTATTGTTTCCCTTTCCAAGTGTTATCAAACACCAGCAGGAACAGCACTATGGAGAGTAGAACAAAGACTGTTGGTTTGAAGACAAGAGTTACCATAGCAAACATTAAGTTAATCAGTACTTCAGTGAAAAGGCTTTATCCATGCTTTTGAAGAGCACTAATTTTACCAGTGAAATCACATGGCAAGTTCTTAAGTAAAATGTGATTTCTTGAAGAAGGCTCATCTTAGATAAGTTTTTTTCCCAGAATCCCAATAAAACCAGGTTGTTTTCACTTACAAAATATTATTGTAACTCAAGTTACAATAGAGTGCAAACAGAAGTCCAGCCCAGAGCTGTGGAAAGTCTCCAGCATTAGAATGCAAACAGAAAAGTAAGCCTGTGTTTAAAATAGATTTGAGTGTGGAAATCCACAGTTCAACAGTGACCCAGAAACTGATAACAGTTAAGACCAGTTTATCATGAGGAAGTGCACGAAGTTTTTCAGACTCTTTTCCGGAGAAGCAAAGAGATAGTTATAAAAGCACTTGTGAGACAAAGAACAGACACAGAAGATGCAATCACACCCTCACCGAATCAGAAATAAACGTGTGACAGAGAAACTAAACCCAGCAAGACCCTGTTCTGTATTGAGCCATAGCCCATATTGGGTAATTCCATCAAAGACAGAGGTAGCTTTTGGCCTGGGTTGCACTTAATTCATCTAACAGCAACCTCTAGTGGCGTTTCCCAACAGATATCACATCTTCAGGAGGAAAAGAGGGGAGGACACAAGAAAAAACTGTTCTGACTTGCTTCCAGGGAATCATAGAAGGTTCCAGAACAGCCACGGGATAGTCTTTGCACTGTTCCTACTCAAATCACCACTCCGAGCGTGACACCTTCTAAAAATAAAGGCTTGAGTTCATTTGGAGATAAAACAAAGTACAAGATACCCTGCAAAATTACCAAATTTTATGTAATGCCATTGCCTGAGCTCTGGTTAAATAATACAGATAATTAAGTCTTGAGCATCAAAGACTTTTTGTATTTTCCTCAAATCCGGTTTTAAGATGTTCTTGTCTGCACCAAGCAAGCTTCCATCATCTGAGGGTAATACAAGTGGGTACCATTTAGTTAAAAATCTAATTTTTGTCATGTCAAATTACATAATTTAATTAGTTACCCCTCCACCCACACCCTTTCTAGGTATATTCCAGCAGCAAAGGCCTTGAATGTCTTCTCTGGAAAAGGAAATCCTACCCCATCGCACACAAGAATTTACCCAACCAGTAGGATCAGAGGGATTCAGGACACATCCTCTGAACACTGAAATAAACTCGTGTTGGATTTTGTAATCTATATTATAGACAATAATATATTTTGAGCTTAAATATGTACATACAACATTGCAGGAGCAAGGTTTCAATACACTTAGAGCTGAGAATTTTGATAAAGCCAGTTTGAAGTGCAGTGTGGATTCACCCATTCAACAGGGGAAGAGAAATGTTTCTATTACAAAATACTTTTAAGTGCCATCTTAATGTGCCTTCAATTAAAAATACATTCATTTGGCAAGTCTTTCAGCTTGACAGAGGTTGTCAGAACTCAAGTGAATTACAGACAGATACCAGTGAAAGAAAAGAAGATTTCACAATCTATAGAAAGGCACCAGCACTTACAGCATTCAGAAATCCATCATTTGCTTAATGATCCACAACTGTACTGTTGGGTCCAGGAATACCCTTGGCTTGTGTTCCATGCACAGTAATACAAACCCAGGCATTATTCTGAATTGCTTTATGAGCCATGTTATGATGGTTTCTTGAAACCTTTTAGAATGGGGTAGATGTTCTCAAACGCCTCATAGATTTCAGAACGCTCTTTTGCTCCTAAAAAGACATTTATTAAAAAAAAACAACACCAAGAATTAACAGAATATTGAAAATACCTGAATATGGTAAGATCACAAACTGTGAAGAAAGCCAGGGGTTTAAAAGCACATTACTATTAGTTTAAGGAAGAATTTCTATCATACTTCTGCCACCTCAAAGAACAATTTCCAGCTTGCTTTGCTTTAAGATCAGTTTTGTTTAATCTGTGGAACCAAAACAGCAATTTTATGCTCTTGACAGGTGAAAAACATTGGCTTTGAAGGAGGAAGAAAGCAACTGAGAACCACCAAGGTGTCACCTGCTTACAAGTAACAGCTCTGCCTGTTGAAAAGGTAGGTGGAAAAGTAGAAACAAGAAGTGAAGGGCATTTATGCAATACTGGAAGTTGATTCACAGTTTGAGAACTCTCCTACTCCAGCTCTGAGAAGCATTTTTATTTTTAAGCTATGTTAGGGCACGTGTGATTTCAAAGCTTTTTCCATGGTACTGCAAGCAAATCTTTACTACCGAGTCTTGCATTGCTGTAGGCAGGAACGTTCCTTGCCACTGACATTACTCTATCATCAACTACAGGAAAACTGCATTTAAATGAACTAAAAGTTGGATTAAGCCCTGCTCAAGTTGAATGTGTAAGCCTTTTCCTCCTGTCCTCACTTGGACATGACTAATTCATCTGCATTGCCACAACTTTTACTTTCAAAAGTAAAGTTACTATTAAGTTATTTCCTCGATTAGGGGAAAAAACCCTCACAGCTCAGCAAATTCAGTTTTGCCATTGCAGCTGGGCCCAGTGTTCACAGAAGAGGATTTACTTTAGTGCTTCTGGGCCTACTGCACACTCAAGGATGTTTCTTGCCTTTTTTTTTTTTTGGGTACACTAATTGGATCAATGGAATGGAACTGGCCAGTGTGATTTTGCTGTACCTAAGAAGGTGGTGGGATATTGGAGGGGGAATTATTTAAGCTTTATACTGAGAGTGCCCCAGACTTCAGCTGGCTGAGCTCATTCCTGATCTATGACTCTGAGAATCCCTGGCTAAGGCTGGCACTTCCACATGTCTCAAAGCTGTGTTGGGAATATAGATACAGCATTCAGAACTTCTGGGAACAAGTCCCATTTACCTTCTAGAAGCATTTTCATGAGCTTCACAAAAAGAATATGTTAGAAACTCAGGAATTCACCTTTTTTTTTTGACCTGGGATGAGGTACAGGTCTCTGAGCACCCTTACTCAGCAAGGCTTCTGCCTCACGAGTGTTTTGCCAAGCAGTCTGGAAAAAAAGTTCTTAGATCTCCACCCTTTCCTCTGATAATCCCTACTAAATGTTGTCAGTGAAGTGTTTTAAGAAGTTTGCTTCCTGTCCAAGTGATTTTCAATTGCTCATTGTGAGGTTCCTATTTAAGTGCCTGAGTAGTTACAGCGTGCCAGCGCCCTGTTGGCATTGACATGTGGCATTATGCTTTGAATAAAAGAAAAATACTCAAGTAATAGGGAAATCTGAGACTCTACATGAAGCAATAGGAGATTCTAGTGCAACAATACTGATGTTATCTGCAGAAAACACAGATAAGCAGCAGTAGGCATTATTAAAAAGTTCAGTAAGAGGCTTTACAGTGGCAAGATACTAATTTTAAGCTAATGTTCAGTTCAAATGCTCTCTCAGAAGACAAAGTAGCACTAGGCTACAGATATTCAGAGAGACCACTTACCAGTCAGTACAACTTTTCCAGACACAAAGATAAGCAGCACTATCCGTGGTTTGACCATCCTATAAATGAGGCCAGGGAATAGTTCAGGTTCATAGCTGTTCCAAAGCAGGCAGGTAAGATTGGTAAAATGCAAATACTGTTTCAGTGTTGTATGAATAAAGTGCTCCTTAAGTGTATTAACAATAGAGTAATTAACCCCACAGATTTTAGATAGCTACTCAGAGAAAGGCAGGTCAGGCTTTAGACATCTTGAAGAGAAACCACTTAATCCCAGCTGGAGCTGGTGGGAGATCTTCATGCTTACTTTTAAAGATTTCTGAGCCACTTCTGATTTTCCATAGCATTGAAATCTTTATTGTAACCTTCAAACAGCCCCCAAATCACAGAATCACAGAATGGTCTGGGTTGGAAGGGACCTTAAAGATCATCTCATGGGCAGGGACACCTTCCACTAGCCCAGGTTGCTCCAAGCCCTGTCCAACCTGGCCTTGAACACTTTC